TGTAACAGCAAGGACGGCGGCGCCTGGGGAGCCGAGCAGCGGGAGACTGCCTTCCCCTTCCAGCTTGGAAGTGTTGTGGAGGTGGGCTGGGGACTGGGGACCAGAGGCAGGGCACTGGGGGGGCTGGGGCAGAGCTGGGTTTGGTGGCCAGAGACCTAGGTCCCCTCCTGTCTTCCCTCCCCTCACCTGCTGTGTGACCACCAGTGAATGTCATCCCCTCTCCCAACCTCAGTGGCCTTACCCAGGAAGTGGGGCAGAGCTACAGGACAAAAGGGCTCTGGGAGGGCCTATGACTACAGGCCATGGCCATGGCTGCAGAGCCAAGGGTCCTGCTGCGGGGTTCATGCCACTCACTGCCCTTCTTTACCCGCCAGGTATGCATCTCCTTTGACCAGACAGACCTGACCATCACCCTGCCAGATGGGTACTCATTCAAGTTCCCCAACCGCCTCAACCTGGAGGCCATCAACTACCTATCAGCTGATGGTGACTTCAAGATCAAGTGTGTGGCCTTTGAGTGAAACCCGCCAGCCCATGGCATGGTCCCCAATAAAGGCAGCTGCCTCTGCTCCCTGTGACCCAGTCTCCTGTGTGTCAGGGGGGCGGGTGTCTGGAAGAGGAGGGTTGCACCAGTTTCCCCAGTTCTGCCCCTTCTTTGCTTCCATTCATTCCTCTATGCACACCATCTAAGTGCCAGTGACGTCTTTCTCCTCCTGGGTCTCCTGGTCCAAACAGAGAGCTCAGTACACAGCAGGGAGCTTGGTGACCACTGAACGAGACCAGTCACTGCCCTCAAACGTCTCCCAACCCAGTGGGCCCCACACACAGTAGGTGCCCAAAAGATGTCAAAAGGGACGAGGCAAGGACAGATTGATCCATGCTATGGTCTCCACATGGGGCAACACAGACGGAAGTGGAGGGAAGAATAATGGGGGCCCCTCATTTGACTTTGTAAGCCAGATAGAGATCTGGTTCAGACCCTGCAGGGCTACTAGCTGTGTGGCCTGTGAGTGTTAACTGACCTCTCTGAGCCTCGGTTTATTGGTTTATATTCAGGGGATAACAGCACAGAGCCTATGATAGGGTTTTTGTGAGGATTGGATGAGATGTGTGAAAGAGGACAAGTTCAGTGCCTGGCACATGGTAAATGCCCAGGGGACAGAGGTTTCCAGTCCCTGCTGCACTACGTCTCAGGATGTTATTACCCCAATTTGAAAGGGAAGAAAGAAGCTGAGTGATGATGATTCCTCGGCCTGGACCAGGCCCAGCTGAGCCTTGTGGGGATCCCCAGGTATCCCAGCTTTGCGGCCCCAGTCTAAACATCCCAATGCTGGGGTGTATGGGCAACCAGAATACTAGTCTGGAAACGTCTGGTCTGTGGTCTTGGGCAGGACCCTCAACCCAACATGGAGAAGATGAGCTTGGGTGATAGCCCTGGCACCAGCTGCTGGCTGTTTCTGCAGAGAGGAATTGGGGTGTGGGCATGAGGGTTGTGGGGAGATATGCCAGCCCCTGCAAAGAACCACGAAGTAGAGTCAGGCAGGCTGACTTGAAGCCCAGCTTCCAGGTGTCCAGAGGCAACACCCCCGCACCCCACCAGCCGCCTGCATATAGCCTCCTCCCTGCAGAGTGTGAGAGACCCTCGGCCTGAGATGAGGTCGCCATGAGCCCCTCCTTTTCCAGCTTCTAAAGAGGGTGTGTCTTCCAAGACTAGCCAGTCTGGGTTACTTTGGAGAGCAATGCCTAACCCACCCCATCACACTCGCTTATCACAAGTGGTGGGACCTGAGCTGATGGCTGCACTGCCCTGCAGACCGACCACTCTCCTGTATGTTTTCCTACTGCTGCCTGCCGCAGCGCCCCTACCTCCCAGGGGGCAGCCCCCAGGAACTGAGCCAGTGTCCTTAGAACCTCAGTGGGCTCCCCCAGACCCCAAGGCACTGTCTCCTGAGGTATGTGTGGGATGGGAGCTTGACAAATCGAACTGTCCAGGACATCAGGCACCAGCTGTAGGGCCTCGGGCAGGTCTCTTCCACCCCCAGTGTTTCTTCATCTATACATCCACCTGGGTGGACGATTCCCATCTCAGTGGGTCCGCTGCAGGGCACACCTCTCTAAGAGAACAAAGGAGGATGGAGCGCACAGGCTGAGGGCTGTCACGAGCCACACCCAATCTCCAGGCTCTCCTGGGGCACACAAGTGACCGAGGGAGAAACGCCTTTGGAAGTCTGGTTGTGGATGGAGCGCCCTCTGCTGGACACTGTAGAAAGTCCCGTCAACTGCCTTTCTCTGGTCTTCACAGTTCACCCTCACTGATTCTCTCCATCCTGGCTGAACACGGGCAATTCGCCAGGACTGGCACTACAATGGCGCAGAGCAGATGTGAAGTTACTGGGTGTGGTGAAAGGAAACTGGGTTCAGAGTCAGACAGACCTGTGTCCAAACCCCCCAGCTCCATTACTGTGTGCCCTAGGACCAGTTATTCAGCCTCTCTGAACCTCAGTTTCCTCATCTACAAATTGCATTAATATTAGTATCTATGGGTTTTTTGCAAGTATTAGCTGGGATAATGTAGAGAAATGCATGGAGTCTGGCACATAATAGGGTTTCTGTAAATGTTAGTTTCCTTCACCTCTGTTAAGACTCAGTGTGTCCCAACAGCCTTAAACCGGATCCACAGAAATTAAATAGAGCACTGAGGTTAGCCCACTTGGGCTCCACCCTCAGCACTTGTTCTTCATGCCTGTGTGACCTCAGGCAAGTGCCTATAGCTCTCTGAGCTTCAGTAAAATGGGGCACATAACTAAAAAGAGAAAATCATATAAAGAGCAAAATACACGGTAACTGCTCTTATTATTCTTTTTGCTCATCACCTTCCTGTCATTTCTATTAAAAGAATGTGCCTTCTTCTTCTGTGCCTGACACACAGTAGGTGCTCCATAAACATAAGAATAATTTGAAGGAGAAACCAACCCCAAAAGAATAATGGGTATTTTAGACCATGAATTGCAGTAAAGAGCTTTCAAGCTTTTGGGATCTGGGTGCAGTTGCCAGTTCCTCAGCTCTTTTCCTGGGACAAGGGGCCATGACACTCCCTGGGAGGCATCTGGAGCAACAGTGCCTGCCTGAGGAGGAGGGTGGGCAACTTGGGTAGGTGGGCTTTGAGGGCCAACCGCACAGAGCTCCCCACATGAGTTTCTGCACCAGCTGCTGTCTCTCTACTCAGTCCCTGTCTCGTCTTGACTCCAGACTGGGAGCTTCAGGAGGGCAAAACCACTCCACACAGAGGGCAGCAGCTGGGGAATGGCTCTGTTCACCACTAACCAACTGGGTGACTTTGGTCAAGTCACTTCCCCAGTCTGAGCCTGTTTCCTCACCTGAATAATGGGGTTAAAAGCAGCAGCAATGTTGTGGGGAGTTGTGAGGACTGAGAACATTCCTCAGCACAGGACACAACAAGTGAACTATGCTGAGGGCAGGGTTCCAGGAAGGTTTACAATTTATCAAGTCTGGTGGCACAACCTTCAGTTTTTCTCTACAGGACAAGAGGGCAAGGGGGTTAGAGCCGGGTAAACAGCAGGCGGCAGCCCTGAGACCCAGTGCCTGGGACTCAGACAAGGTAGCCCAGCTGCAGAAGGTGCCTTGCTGGGCATCTTCTGGGGGCATGACTGCAGCCAGAACAATGCTTCTATCCAGAGGGAGGGTGCCAAGAGTGGCATTAGGGCATATGCACTAGGAGGTGGAGGGTCAGAAGGGCAGCTGTTCATCACCCTGAAGCCACACCACTCAGGCAGCTCCTTGCTATGCCCTGGGTTTGAGGATAACCCCTCTTAACACTCAACATGGAAACCCCCAGGCAGGGGACCACTGTGAAATGGGCTCAACATTCATGGAGAGACACACCTGCTGTGTGCCTGGCTCCTTTCAAAACCTATGTCAGGGCCTGCATCTTGCTCTCTAGAGGGGGTATGCTAGCTACACGGGGGTGATCTTTCAGGCCAGCAGCCCAGGGAGCTTGACCATTAGGACAGAGACCCAAGCTCATGTCCCAACTTGGCTACAGGGCATCTGTGCAACCCTGGACAATTGCTTCCCTTCTCTGAGATAACAGTTCCCTTCTTTGTGTACCTGGCAATACATGTGTGCTTACTTGTTTTCTGGGCTCCAGGAGGGGGCTGGGTCCTAAGAGTTTGTTATTCCTTTGGGATCGCCAGTCCTGGCCAGTTCTAGGGTAACTCCACTGGGAGGCCCTCCATGCTGGAGAGCCAACCCTGGGCTCCTGCAGCCTCCTGTGCTTCTCACTGGAGAGGTATCATCCCGGGGTCTGTAATGATTATTGACCCTACCCGACCGGCCCATCCCTAGAGGCAAAGGCAGCAGCTTGTGTGCAGCAGCACAGATGGTTGAGAACGGGGGACTCAAGCTACAACCCCAGTTGCTAACATTCCCCTTCGGGGGTGACCCTCATTTCCCATCTGTGCCTTCATATGCAATAGAAGCTGTGTTATTACACCCCCATTCCATACTTAGGGAGACTGAGGTAGACAGGGGCAATGGCTTGTGTAGCAAACGTGTGGCATGTATTATGTTATCCACACGTTCCCTGACTCACTTACTCCTCACAATCACGGCTCTCCAAGTCTGGTTGGTGGACCAGCAACAGCATCATTGAGAACTTGTTAGAAAAGCAAATTCTGGGGCTCCCTCCAGACCCTGTTGAGTCAGAAACTCTGAGGTAGGGCCAGTCCACCTGGTTTCTGCAAGCCCTCCAGGGGATTCTGATGCATGCCAAAGTTTGAAAAAACCTGCCTTACAATAACCTTACCAAGTAACCATCATTATCCCCACTTTACATATAGGGTAACTGAGGCACGGTGAAGGCAATTGGTATAGGACCACACTGCTGTAATCGGGGTACCAAAATTCTAACCCAGGTAGTCTGGCTCCAGAAACGTGCTCTTGGAGACCAACGAGATGACATCAGGATCAAACGTAGGATCAGCAATCTTTGGCCATTCACTAGTAACTCCGTATTGAGCGCCTTCCATGCGCCAGACACCGTGCTAGGCGTTGGGACCAAGGGGCCTCGCTGTCACCATTGCTAGTCCAGGAGAGGGAGTGGATCTAGGAGAACAGGTATCTGCAGGTTACACCCAGAAGGGAAGGGTAGGAAGACAAGCTGCACGACCGACCCCTTTAAAAGGCGGGGCCTGGAGAACGGAACTGCGGAACGCCACTGAAAGACGCGCTCCGGAGGCCAAAAAAAGTGCACCGGAAGAGTCTTAGGCGTGCGGAGCTGCGCCGCAAGAGGCCTCGCCGCTATGGGCCGCAACAAGAAAAAGCGAGGTGTCGACGATCGGCGGCCGCGGCTCGTTCTTAGCTTCAATGAGGAGAAGCGGCGGTGAGTGCCAAGCCCAAACCAGATCTCCTTCCGTCTGCCGGCCAAGGCCAGGTCCGGGCCGCGCACGCTAGCGAAGAGGGCCCTTCCGGCCCCGCCCCTTGGCGTGGCGCGGAGCTCCCCCGCGGAACGGAAGCGGTCTCTGTGGTCCCCCAGCCTGGGGAATGGAATCGCCCCGCCTTCCCTTCTCTAGGTCTGGCGCGCTGGGGTCCCGCGGGCTGCTGCGTGCCGGGCTCTCGGAGCCGTGGCTTCGACCTTCCTAGCCCAGCCGTCCCGCGCGCAGTAGACTCAGCTGTTGTTGGTGAATGAAATGAGAGTGGCATAAGTTCATTTATTCACTCACCAGACGTTTACTGAGTATCTTGACTGTGTGTGCCAGACTGCGTCCCCCACTTACACCCTGACCTATGGTGGTGAGTCAGCGGAAAACCTAGTATTGGGCCCTCGAACAGATGGGAAGGGTACAGCCAGCAAGAGATGAGAAGGGGCTGAGATCAGGTAAGGGGAGAGAAGGAAATGCTGGGGGATCATCAGGAAACTCAGGGTGGCATCAGCAGGCCCTATCGGTGGGCACAGGGGCAGGTGTCCTGGGGAAGCAGGGTGTTGGTCCGGTAGAAAGTTCGTCGAGGTCTGGGTGAGTGTAGCCTTGAAAGCCCTGCTAGAAGAGGCTTAATTCACTGGGTGATGGAATTTGCCGGTGTAGAAAGGTCCCCTCCTGCCTTTCTAGATCATGTGACAGAGCTGGGACGTGGGACAAGAATCATGATTAATTTTTCCTAACCATGAAAAATACTGAGGTATAGTAAGACCAGGAGGGTCTTGAACTTGAGGCTGAGATTCCATTTTAAAAACCGGGGAGTTAGGAGGTAAGATTCCTGACATATTTTATGGTGATTAGCCAACAACCCACCCTATGTTAAGGCCGGGTGAGCAGTCCTAAAGGCTGTGTCCCCGCTGCTTGAGGGTAACCATTATTTTGGAGAGGAACAGGATTGATAAATTCCTTGTGTTAAGTTTATTTTGCAGAATATCTAGAAGACAGACTGTGGATGGTGACGTAATGTCTGTCACCGTAGACATCACGAAACCACATATCAAGCCTACTCTCCTTTGGCCCTTTACCCAATTCTTGAAATCCTTAAAAAAAACATGAATCCTAAGCCTTAAGAATGCCCGTCCTCTGACGCTACCTGTAGTCCCTTTCTTTTTTTTGAGTGTGTACGTTGCCTTAAATAAAACCTTGCTGCTCAGCTTACTGTGTTTTGTCTCCACTCTTGCAAGCCTGTAGGGCAGTTACTAAGAGACCCCTTTCCCGCTGGTAAGCATCTTTGTCACTTCGCTACCTCATCCAACCTTCCAGACTTAAGCACAAGTCTTCACTCTCTCTGTCCTACTTCAGACAGGTAGGGAAGGCCTATGAGAGTTTTTTGGGCTTGCAAGTTCCATTGCCTGGGTCCCCTGGACGGAACTGCAGCTGTATGGTCATACTCCTTTTACTTGCCTGCCCCCAAATCTCCTTTCTTTGGGAAGTTCTCAGAACATAATCTCCCTCCACCTAGTGCTCTGTGGCTCCCCCAAATTCCCATGCCATGCAGATCAAGCAGACACTGGATGTCAGGTGACCCTGGCTTCAGGAGTTGGTAAGGGATTTGCCCTGTGCTGAGCAGGAGGTCAGTGGGCATCCCTTTCCTCCCTCTGTTCTTCCTTGCTCTCTACTGCCTGCATGGCTTCCACCATTCACTACCACTCTCACTTTAATTAATTCCTTCCTTACACCCGTCCAACCTGTTCGGGAATCTTTTTCTCAGAGTCAAGAACCCTCCCTTGGATTGAAGTCTTATAATGCACAGAGAGATGTCCCTAGATTAGATTGCCTGACAACACATAGACCCACAGCCTGTGCCCATCATCTGGCCCTGCTTCTTGAAGCTGAGGGCCCTGGAGGGTAGTGGATGGAAAGAGGCAGCATCTCCCTCTTTTCCTGAACCTTACGTACTCAGTGACCTTGGAAAAGTAACCTACCCTCTCTGTGCCTCAGAGTCCCCACCTGTAAAATACGGGGTTGGCACCCACTGCACAGGTTGTTCTGAGAATACATGAGTTAATGTGTGTAAATTCTTGGAATGGTGCTGGGTGCAAAATGAGCACAGTATTAGCTGTTTTGTCTTCCTAGAATAAGCCCTTGTTATATCTCCTCCTGATTCTGCAGATTCTCCCTTGCCTCTTCCCTTTAGGGAGTACCTGACAGGCTTCCACAAGCGGAAGGTGGAGCGGAAGCAGGCAGCCATTGAGGAGCTCAAGCAGCGGCTCAAGGAGGAACAGAAGAAGCTTCGGGAGGAGGTACCGAAGGGGAAGGGTGGAGGGGGTGGGGGGGAGAGAGAGAGTGAGTCTCTGACTCCCAGGGGACTTGCAGGCCTGGATGGCCGCATAGGGGCATCTGCAGGGATGAGGGGAGGGGTGGGCAGGCGGCTTGCATAGATAGAGGTCTGAGGAGGGTTTAGGAGGGAATCTCCTGGTCATTCACTCCGAGCCGTGGTCTCACTCACTCTGGAGTTGAACGATGCTCTGCCTGAGGTTGGGCTGAGAGGTCATATTCACTGTGTTCCCTTCCCTTTTGATTTCAGCGCCACCAGGAATACTTGAAGATGTTAGCAGAGAGAGAGGAGGCTCTGGGTAAGTCCCATTCTTGGCCTGACCTGGGGCATAGCCAGTGGGCATTGGTTTATTTATCCCTTAGTGTGGGAGGGGTGGGTATGGGGGCTTCACAGAAGCTGACTTCCCTCGCTCCAGGGGTCTTTGTAGTGACTTGGAGGCCAGGGGTGGTCCTCAGGTACGTCTGAATGCAAATGAATCAGAGACAAGGAGAATGAGACCCACACTTCTTGGTAAATTGATCCTGAGCAGAAACCCCAGTTTCTGGGGCCTAGAGGGACTAGGGGTAGGGGAGAAGAGGTGGCGACAGCTCCTGGTGTCATACAGTTTGCTCTCCCCAGAGTATAAAGAGAAGAGTTGGATCATTCATGGCATTTGTCTGCAAGCCAGGCTCCAGAGCTGGTGGCTTCCTGGATACTCTCCCATAGAGGAGAGGGGGCCGTTGCACTCCAGGGCTAGAAGCGGGGCTGGAGCCTGGTTACTTGTGCCCTTGGGGGTAAGGCCTGGTTTTGTGCCCACCCCATGCAGAGGAGGCAGATGAACTGGATCGGCTGGTGACAGCCAAGACAGAGTCGGTGCAGTACAGCCACCCCAACCACACAGTCACTGTGACCACCATCAGTGACCTGGACCTCTCAGGGGCCAGGCTGCTCGGGCTACCCGCGTCTGAGGTGGGTATCACTTCGCAGCCCTGGGGAAGAAGGGACACGGCAGACTGGCTTGTCAGGGTAGCTAAGTTCTGGTCCATGCCATGGGGGATTCCAGTGCAAGGGCTCTTTCCCCTCTGGGCACCCTTTAGGGCACGGATGACATCCCTGACCCCTGGCGCTTTGAGAGGCCAGCGCCACCACCAGGCTGTGGGAGCTCGGGTCTCTGCCCTGCCCGCTTTCCCCTCTCCCTCAGCGAGTGTGTGCTTGCTGATGGCAGCCCCGGTCTCCTGGGATCGCTGCGAAGATGAAAGTGGTCGATCCAAGAGCAGCAGCTAGGAGAGCTGTTTATTGTGGTGACTCCCTTTGCAGGATAAGCAGCCATAACACGGCATGTCTGTGGGCACCAACAGTGGGCTTTCAGCCTATGGCTTGTGACTTTTTAGCAGGCGGTGACCACATTAAAAAAAAAAAATAGAACAGAATATTGTTAAAAATAACAGAAAGTGCCATAGTAAGTATTCTCATGACATGTTTGTTTCAGTTAAAGTTGTGTCTGCCTGGGTTGTGTGGAAATTTATATGTGTACATGTGCTCAGCTATAAGGTAAACCACATTTCTTATCATGAGTTACAGTGTCTTTAGGTCCTGAAGCAACTGTTTCATCACATCCTCACTGAGCTCACACTAATTTCTGTTTTGTGCTTATTCTCATTCTTCTGTAAGGTCTGATGCAAAGGTCCCATTTTATGAGATCTTTCATCTGTGAGTGTTGAAGTGTCCACTGTAGGCTCAGGCAGTGGAGGGTTTGAAACACAGCTCTCCCCTGTGTGATCCCTGCTTTGGGACACGCACGGCTTTTCTGCCTGCAGCCTTCTCTAGGCTGCGATCCAGGCTTGGGAGGTGGCAGGTCATGACCCCGCTTGACAGAGCTGGGGTTGCTCAGGGCGCCCAGCCCAGGCCTCCTGCTCTTCTGTTCTTTGTGACAGTTCTTGTCTTGTGCTTCTTTAGCAAGGGGCTGGACACGGGTCCAAGGAGGAGGCATCCATGGAGAAGCCGACCAGAGCCTTACCCAGGAAGTCCAGAGACCCCCTGCTATCCCAGCGGTGAGCCCTGGCCTGTCCTCCCCTTTGAGCCCGCTCTTCATGACTAGCACTCATGACAGGGCCTGCAGAGCCACCTCCTGTTGGCCTGTGGGGGTTGGCGTGGGGCAGGTGTGGGGGCCAGAGCCACCGCTCCACCTGTTGAGTGAACCTCAACCCCTCCTCCCTGCCCACACCTCTGCCCCCTGAGAATGGCCAACCGTGGGGTCCCTTAGTGCCTGGGGTGGGGACCTTTCTCTGTATGAGCTGACGAGCTTTCAGGGCCTCTGGGGTCAAAGCAGGCTGCCTTTGGAATGGATTTGGTACTCCCAGCACTCGGGGCCTGTCCTGACTTCCCCTCTGTGAGCTGGGCAGTCGGTCATTCCCTAACCCACCCATCCACCCTTGGGTAAACTGAGGCCCCAGCCTCACCAGCCGTCCACCCTCCCACAGGATCACCTCTCTCACAGCATCGCTGCATGCTCATAGTCGCAAAAAGGTTAAGAGGAAACATCCCCGACGGGCCCAGGACTCCGCCAAGAAGCCCCCAAGTGCCACTCGTACCAGCAAGACCCAGCGCCGCCGGCTGACAGGCAGAAGTCGGCACAGTGGAGAGTGAGTCCCGACCGCCAGGCCGGGCCCCAGCCTAGGCTAAAGGACCCGCCTGTCTCAGCGTGGCTGGCCTGGTAGCTCAGCCTGCCCTGAGGGAATGGCTCCAGAGTTGGGATGCCAGCCCCTCTCCGACCTGCGACTTACACCCCAGAAGGAGCAGTGGGCTGAGGACTGGCTTCCGCCATCAGAGCCATGTTTGGGGCGTCTTCCTAAATGTATACCCCACTGGGCCTTCGCCAGATGTCTGAAGCTGGGTGTCCTTGCGGCTGCTTCGTCTCTGGCTCTGATGCCACGCGCCAAGGGCCGGCCTCTGTGTGGGGAAGCTGTCAGGGGAGTGGGCCGTCCTCACCAGTAGGTTTTCCTGCGGGTATGAAGAGTCAGTGTTAGGCTTTCGCCCCCTACCAGGTTGTGGACCAGGGTAACCACTGGTAGGTCCAGAGTCCACCTGCTGCTCTGAAAAGCGGGCTACTGGGGCAAGTGGGTGAGCAGTGCCCGCTCTGCCCTCTAGTGGCTGAGACCCCGGGCCTGTCCCTGCTCCTTGGCCTCGTCAGTCTCCTCTGCTGAAAGTAAAGCGGTGGAAACGGGAGCTCTGGGCATCCCTCCCCAGACTCGGGCAGCTTCCCCAGGCTTCCAGCAACTCCCGGATGTTGGAGTCCTTTTTAAAGAAAATGCATCTTTACTTGCCATAAAATGTGGCCCTTTCCAAGGAGACCCCTCAAAAGGCCAGGTGTTTGCAAGACTGCCATTTCTCCATGCTCCTGGGTGCAGTTTCAGAGCTGGTGAAAACCAGCCTTGTGCCTTCCCTGTCCCCGCTTATGAGTGACCCCCCTCACATACCCCACTGTTTCCCTGACCCAGGAGTTCCATCGGCAGAATTCAGGTCCACCTGCGGCAGGTAGACGTGCCAGTGAGTACAACCAGGGTGCCGGGTATGGAGCATTGTCACACGCCCCCTCCCCTTGCCACTTAACAAGTCCTGTGATTCTGGGCCAGAGCACAGGAGTTTGGGTTGTACCTGGTTGGGTAGCCATGTTGGGCCCTAATACTAAGATTGCAAAGGGGTGTCTTCCCAATGGGTTTCAGGCCCGGGCAAGTTCGCTATGGATTCAATGTGACCAAAGAAATTGATAGCAAAATATTCTTGGGGTGAAAGGGTTATACCCAACTTTATTTCCAGGTGGCAGGTCAGTCACTAAAATCCCATTCACTCAGAGTGAGTCTGCACGCAGCAAGCTGGTCTCTGCCTCTGGGCCCTCTGTCCGCACAGCCGTCCTCTGGGCCTCTCTGCCTGCACAGCTGTCCCACACAGCCATCCTCTGGGCCTCTGTGTTCGGCACTGCCACCACTCCAGCCTCTGCTCTGCTCTCCTGCAGCCGTGCCACCATGTCGTGCGCAGAGCACTGGGCAGAGCTCTTTATATCGAGTGCATTGCCCACAGGTGTGCAGTGAGCTAGTCAACCAGGGCCAGGTGAGAATCCTGGCCACAGGAACTCTCATTTTATCCACAACTAGCAAGAGAGGTAGTCAAGGTGAAGGACAGTGCTGTGATGGGGTCGCAGCTGCACTGTCTCCCTGGCCCTAGGATGTGCGTGGTGCCTGCAGGAGAGGGCACAGACATCTGCAGGCAGGCCTTCCCCTCCACGCACCGTGTAGAGGGGCTGCCATTGTGCAGACTCAAGACAGTGGCTCTGTTAGGCTGTGCCTGGGGGTGGACAGGTGTGTCATTATTAAAACCCACCATCAGGTGATCCCTGATGATGGCTGGTGTGTGTCTGAAGGCCACACCTGGGAACACAAAGCTCAGGGCTTGTGGCAGGGAGGTCTCATGACCTGGCTCCTCAGCTCCTTCGGCTGCTCTTCCTGCTGCCTCTCTGTTGTCCATCCCTGTGTTTGGGCTGGGATGATTCACCCCCCTGCGCTGCCTCCATCCTGGGCAGAGAGTGGGGCCTGTTGCCAGGCTCCCAGGTGGTTCTGGTACTCAACCCAGGGCAGCAAATGTGAGCCTCTCCCTCACAGGCCCCTATGAGCAGGACCAGAGCAGGGCCCAGGGGTTCAGTGCGTGCAGGAGAATCCTGTCTTTGCTGCTCGGCCACTGTGTGAGCTCCTTACCATGCTGAACTCTCTATTCCCCATGTGTGAGATGACTGAAGACACGTATCTCTTAGGGCTGCCTGAGGCTGAAATGAGACCACGTGCAAGACCACTTCCCGTCGCACCTGGCATTCCCCGGGTGCACCGAGGTGCTCACAGCTGCTGCCCTCTGCTGCAACATCTGACCTGGGTCTCTTCTATCCCCACTAACACGGGGTCATTTATGACTTACTTTATAATTTGTAACATTTACAAGTACTAAATTCTCATCATTCCCTCCTATGAGTGCTATCAGTTTTTCCAGAAGATCAAGGAAATTGAGTCACGGTGATTTTGGCAATTCTAGGATCAGGCGGGGTGGAGTCAGAACCCTCTGGGGAACTTTTCTTCTAGGAGCTGCTCTCCTTGTTCCACACCTGGATTCTTTCCTCATGCTGCTCTCTGTCTTGTGGACCCAGGGGTTGGAGCCTCTCAGGGCTTTATAATGGATTAGGTTTAGCTGCATATAATACAGGATAAAATTTTAAAATAACTGGCTTATATGGAGAGGAGTAACAAAGATGGGAACTAACTAACCTGGAACAGGGAGGGCTGGGGGCTGAGCTGGCAGGCTATTAGCTTTTTGTGTATGCCATTTTCAACACATGGCATCCACCTCATGGCCCAAAGTGGCTGCTTGAGCTTCAGCCATCATACCTGCTTTTCAGCCAGAAGGAAGGAGGAAGGGATGGATAATATGCCCCTCCTTTTAAAAGCAGGACACTTCTCATGTGCCATCAGTTGGGAAAAGGGCCGAGGTGTGGGGCAGGAGGAAGAGGGAGCTCCTAGGGGCAGGAAATGCTGGGGACTGTTTTGTTCTGGAGAACTGTGTACCCAGATAAGAATTAGGGATTGTGCTCCTAAAGGGAGAAGTGGTATTTGGGTATAAGCAGCAGATTCTCCCACAGAAGCCAAATAAGTATAGGGCTATCAGGAGGGGACCCACCGTGAAGCAAGCCGTATCAGACGCTTACCTGTCCCTGGGTCACCGCCTTAAGCTTCCCTGTGCGTCAGCCTGTGGCTGGTACAAGGGGCAGTGGCCTGGTTCCTGGGAGCCAAGCCCAGCTCTGTGGAGGGAAGACGTCTCCCTGGTAGGAAATGTTTCGGGGTGGCCCAAGTCCTGTCTAGGGGAAGAGCTGAGCAGGCCCGCTGTAGCTGGCTGCCCGAGTTGGAAACCGCAGAGGAGAGGGTTCTGTCACCGGGGAACCTCGGTCCCCACCCTCTCCAAGCCACCCACGACTGCGGAGGGCTTGAAGTCTGCTGCTTTGAGCTGTCTTCCTCTCCTTGCCTGTGCAGTCGGCTCTGGCGAGGGGTTCCCGACCTTCCTGAGATTAGAGAGCTCACTGCCTGTTTGGTCGTGAGCGGGTGGATCATGACAAAAGCCCTTGTCCTGAGCTAACATCTGCTGCTTCTGATGCCATAGGTGCCCTTTGCATGTTTGCAGGCTGCTCAGTCTTTCCCACTCTTCATCTGTGAGCCATCTCCCCAGAGAAGCCTTCCCTGACCACACCTTACCACCCTGAGAATTAATGATTTCTCCATCCAAGCTCCAGTGACTGTTCCCTTCTTTTAAACACATCGCATTGTGACTTGCTTATGTACCCCAACCAGACCATGAGCCTTCTGAGTAAGAAGCTGGGTCAGGAATTTCTGTTTTTGCCTCTGGCATAGGGAATGTCTCACCACAGGTTCTTAGCCAATCCTGGCTGAATTACATGGGACCCAACCCCCCCTGCCCTTGGGTGCTCCCAAATAATCCTTGAAATCTGTTCTAGAATGTTCTTGGCCCTACTGCCGTGTTTGCCTGTCTGTGAGTTTCTGAATCTACTTTTTCCTCCTTCCCATCATCATGTCCATCTCTTCTGGGCCTCTGCTGAAACCCTCTTCCCTGCCCAATGTACTTTGCCATCTCCCACCCTAGATGGCATGATTAGCCGATAACCAAAGAAAAGAGGCTGCGAAATGTTTCGAGCACACCTCTGATGTACCAAAGAGGTACACTGTTAACACAATAGCATTGTGAAGTGGCTATTAGCTCCATTTGACAGATGAGAAAACTGAGTCTCAGAGAGGTTAAGTAACATCAAAAGTTACCCTGTCATGGCTAATAAGACACGGTCTTTACATGTCATGGAGAAGACATATGGAAGTCTCTCTGGAGGTCAGTGTTAGAGATTCATACAGTCCCGGGAGGCACAGAGCTGAGAAGAGGGCATTCAAGAAGGCTTCCAATAGGAAGTGCCCCCTTGACATACATTTTGTAACATGGCTTGGTTTGGCCAGGGAGATGGGGGAGGGGATAGGTGGGCAGACAGAGGTGCCCTGGTGAGGAAAAGTGGGGAGGGTCAGAGGAGGAGAGAAAGCTGCAGTGGCCCACAGGGCCCTGACCGTGACGGGCCCCCACAATTGAGCTAAAGATCTGAACCCTTATCCTATGAGCAGTGGGAGCCCCTGAGGTGGGGGTGGAGGTACAGCCAGGAAAGTGAGGGTCAGCAGTTGTCGCAGAGAGGTCTCCCTGGTGGTGGTGTGGAGGGGTTCTGGGGGCACTGGAGGTGCCAGTTATCCAGGGGAGAGGAGGAAGACCTTCCCATCATGCAGGCACCCACTTACCCTCTTACCAAGCATTTACGGAGCACCTACCAAATCCAGGCACTGGAGGTACATACGTGAGCCAGATGGGGTGGTCCCCACTCTCCAGGGACTTGTATTTCATGAGCCATAGCTGTGGGGAATCCTTACAGTAACCCCACAGGCTAGGCAATTCCATTAGCCCATTTTGCAGGTCAGGCACATTGAGGTGTGTCCCCCAGGGAAACAAGCCATACCCTAGATACATGTATTTTAACACAGCTAGACCAGCAGTGCTAGCCCAAGGCCTTACCTTCAGCGGGTACATTCACATGGTTCAGAATGTGAAAGCACTCCAGGAGCAATGACAGGAGCCCAGCAGAGTGAACCGCTACTTAAGGCTGGGGAAGCCAGGGAGGGCTTCCTGGAGAAGCTGGCGTTTAAGCCATTACTAAGGGGATGAAAGTCTATCTGATTTACCATTTCAAAGACACTACATAGAACAAAAGACCTGCAGACTAGTTTGGTTTGACTCACAGAGTCTGCAAAAACAATTTGACTTAGCCATATTTTAAAATGTTAAGTTCATATAAAATTTCAGATTTCTGGCTTCTCCAGTTAAAGCAAGCCTGGCGGCACTGGATCACCAGTTCAGAGGGTAGCCATGAGCTGGAGCCAGCATTGCTGGCCCCTTCAGAGACTCCCGCCTTCCTGCCCCCACTCTGTGGGGTCACAGGCCCCTGCAACTCTCCCTTGCCTGCCCAGAGCCCCGGACTCTCCAGCAGGCCTGTGGACAGGACAGGGAGGCGACGACCATTCCCGCTTGACTGGGACTGCAGCTGTCTGCAGTGGTTCTGCTTCCTGCTCCTCTGAAGAGTGGTGTCCCAGCCACAGGGAGCAGCATGAGCAAAGGTGCTGACACAGTCTCTCTAAGGAGCAGAAGGGAGACAGGTGATAAATGGTGACACTGCCCTGGCTGCCACTGTTTACACCCTTACCCCTGAGACATCTGAGCCACCCCACAGAACATGGGGAGTCTGTTTTTTAGCCCAGGCTTGGTCATCAAGTAACAGAGTGGCTTGGGCAGTTTGCTTGAACCTTGACTTTCATGTCTGTAAAATGGGAATAATGGCTGCTCTACCATCAGAGGGACGGTACTGGGAGAAACACACTAATGTGTGTATGAAGAGGTCAGCCTTGCCTTTTTGGGAAAAGGAGGGACTTATTACCTAGATTACCAAGGATCCCTCTTCAGGCCTTAACCACCCTCACTGCCACTGTCCCCGCCCAGGAGGGGGCCACCTCCAGCAGTGCCCTTCGCTCCTCCTCATATATACACCCTTGGCTCCCCAGCCCCCTCCTCCTGCCCCTCCAAACATCTCTTCCTCAGGACCATGACTGCTGCCCAGCCACCCACCACCCTCCCCTGCCCTCAGGGACCCTGGCCAGGCAGCTCCAGAGAGGGTGAGTCCTCAGGACAACCCCCCAGCCAGCCCCCTGGCCCTCCCCTCCTCCCTCAGTTTTTCCGCTCCAGCCCTGCTGCTGTCCCCCCTCACCAGAAACGCTTTTCCCCAAGATCTGCAGGGCTCACGCCCTCTTCTCCAGGTCTTCGCTCAGATATCATTGTCTCAGGCCTTCCCCTGACCACCTTATTTAAAACATAATGCCCTCTCCATACCAGCCACTTCTAACCCCCTTCCCTGCCCCATTTTTCTCCTTAACACCTTTTCACCAGCCAACACACTCCATAGACTGCTTATTTACCTTGTTGGGGTCTGTTTGTTTCCACTAGAACATAAGCTCCACCAAAGCAGGAGATTCAGTCTTGTTGGCTGATGTAGCTTCAGCACACACACCTGAGCCGGTAGGGGCTCTGTTAGTGTTTAGTCAACTGAATTCATTAAAAACTGGGAGTGCCACCCTGACTGGCTCCAGGTTTTACTGATTGCCAAGGGCTAGATCGCTGGGGCCATATTCTGAGTTTCAAACACAAACCAAGTACCTACCCCACCCCAGGCTCAGAGAGCTCAAGAAACTTGCTTAAGATCACATAGCTGGGAAGTGCTAGAGCCAGATACTGAGCAAGAGTCTCACTCTTGCCCATTTTGCCTACAGTAGTTGGGACCAAGCAGAAAGCTCATTGTCTGTTATGAAGCTGTGTGTTCGCCCATTCCATCCTGAGCCAGGATGACCTGTTCAGGGACTCTCTCCCACTGGGCAGTGGGCTCCTTGTCTCAGAAGGAGCCACCTTTTATTCTTGTTACCATCTCCCCAGTGCAGGCCTGGCGTACACCAGGTACATGTGAATGAGTGAATCACTGAATGAAGATGCTCTGTAGTGGCTGGTGGAGTCAGACACGCCAGGGTTTTAGTCTTGGCTAAAGCCTCTTACTAGCTGCGTGCCAGGGTTTTAGTCTTGGCTAAAGCCTCTTACTAGCTGCGTGACAGTGGCGAGTTAATTTCTTTGATCCTGAGTTGCTGTGAAACGAGGATCTTAGTACTTAATCCTTCTGGTTACTATGTCCTCATGAAGGTAAAGGTTTTGGAATGGGAGCTGGCATATAGTACAGAATTAATGCTAGTTTTTAAAAAGGAAGACTTTTTAAAAGGGAAGAGCTGTGCATTTTGTGAGTAAGCTCCACATTAGTGGAAGTGTGTAAATGGAGGTTGAAAACCCCTGGGCATTTCATTTCATCCTCGCAAGCACTATTACCCACCCTATTTTACAGATAAGAAAACTGAGGCACAGAAAGGTTGATTCTCCGCCCCAGAGTCTGGGCTGAAGCCAGCCTAGGGAACTGTGGCAGGAATGAACCTACGGGAAAGCGGTCACCGGGAGCCGGACCCGCCGCTCAGGTTAAACGTGCAGCGGGTCCCGCGCTCAGGGGCATCTGGGCTCCGCCCACCTCCACCACGCCCCTTGTTCTCGGGTTGTCCAATCCCACAGTCTTCGTGTAAATGAAGCCCCTAGAGAGCCTCTGCGAGAGCGGCACGGGCGTGGTCTTTCTCCACCTCCCGGCTAACGTTCCGATTCATTGTTAAAATACCGAGGCTGTGACCTGGGCACCCCACCCCGGGACCCCCTGTGCGCGGAAACCCGGGCCGAGGTTAGTTCTGGGCAGCGAGAAGATGGTGGAGGGAGGAGGCTAGCGGGGAAAGGCAGAGGGGCGAAGGATAAGGGAAGGGAGGTTGGCTGGCTGGAGAGAGGTCCAAGGGGTCTATTCACTGGGTGGGGCATGCGTGTCATATCCACACCTAGAGTGCATTTTAGAGGATTCTGTCAATTGTTGGAGCCAGGGAGGAGGCAGCGGGAGCAGGGAGGGGCACATGGAATAGAGCCCCCGCCCGCCCCCAAGGAGATGAGTCTGAGGCGACGCTTCTTTTTGTGTCCGACCAGGAAAGAACCGCCCCGATTGGGCGGGATGGATGCGCACCCCTGCACCACTGGAAGCAGGGAAAGAGGGGGAGATGACGCCCCAGGGAGGACCTGGAACCCCGGGGCTACCGAGGGGCCACTGGGTGCTCCCCTACAATGTACCCTGCGGCCTGCATAGGTAGAATGGTAGAGAAGAAGCCAGGAGCCTTGGCCCTGGCTGCCCCAGGGAAGGACGTGAAATTCCCTAGCGCTCAGCTGAAACTGGCAGTTAAGGCTGGCTCCCCTGGGCCGTTTGGAGGAAACTCACCAGGTGAGACCTGGTTTGAGCCTCTGACCGGAAGTCACCATAAGGTACATGGCGTCTGGGGATATGGATTCCTCTCACCCCACTCCCACCCTGGGGTTCTTCAAGTCACTACTGTTTGGGCCCCCCTCCCCACCTCCAAGAGCACAGTGTTGGAGCCCTCGGTGGTAACCAGAAGGGAAAGCCCTGTGCTCCAGGCAGACACCAGTTTCTCTTTGGCTAAGCTCTGCCAAAACCTGCTGTGTGACTTTAGGTCAGTTATTTTTGTCCCTGACTTTGCCCTTGACTCTGAAAATGCCTGGTGCCCCTTTTGCCTCACTCCCAGAGTTTCCTGAGGACCTGTGTGAGTTGTCAGTGTGGCCCACCACCCCTCGCTTCCACAGACAGTGGAGAGGCACACAGACCTGGATTTGCATACAGTTTAGCCACTGGCACCTTCAGCAAGTTATGGCACCTCTGTGGGCCTTAGCTGCCTCATCTGAAGTGGGCATTAGTCTGATCTATAATGCAGGATAACTAAGGCACTCAAACTTTGGGGTACATTGGAATCACCTAGGGGATTTGTTTAAAATGCACACCCCCAGGCTTCACCTCCAGAGATCCTGTCTGGGCAGATCCTCGGGGCGGGGGGGACTGGGAACATCCATTGAATGAGCAGCTCAGCTGAGTCTCCTTCAGGGTCCCCAGAACACACTTTAAGCAACACCTCAGTAACAGCTAGCAATCACCTGTCAAATGCTTGGCAGAATGCCTGGTGCTTCGTGGGTACTTAATGAATGTTTGTTGAGTGAGTAAGTGAAGAGATGAATGAGTGGCAGGTAACCTTGTTTCCTTGGTCCTTGTCTGTGCAGGGCCAACCTGGGACTGGGATCTGGATGGCCTGCCAGCCAGGAGTCGCCTGGTCCTTGTCTCCCCGCTTCTTCCCAGGCCCCACCATTGGATCACCAGAGCTCCCCCGGCCCGACTCAGCCAATATGGAGGGGGTGTCTGGGCTTGCCCCCTGTGAACACTTTGAGGCCAGTGAGTTTGCTCAGAGCTGCTGTCAAAACTGCTTCCACCCTGAGGAGGCCCACAGAGCAAGGCACCAGGTGGGTCAGCTTTCCTGAGTGGTTGTGGTGGTTTGGGATGGGGCATCTGATGGGCTGGGCCTGGCTGGGCCACTAACTTGCAGTTGAACCCAGATACTGGACTTCCTCCTGGGCAGAGCCTCAGTTTTCCCATCTCTATGTTGAGGTGGTGGGACCATGTTATGTTTCCCAAGTGCCAGCCTTTCTCCTCCTGCTTTTATGAGTTTTTTGCTATAGCCTCATATAATCTCTTACTTAGCTTAATTGTTCCTTAAATCAACACCCTTTTTTCACTTTTACTAAGACAAAACTTTACATTACCATCACAAATAGAAAACTAGGATCATGACCTTTATATAGAAGGTTCAAAAGAACGAAAATCAGAAATGTCATTAACTTCTAACTATAGAGTATTGTCAGCTGAAGGCTCTGAGCCTGAGTCCTGCTGTCTTTCTGTTAAAAAGGATATTGGCAGGTGTTTAAGAGGCGTTAAAGATACTCCAGCACCTCCTGGAGGTGTTCTCTTTGAAGGAATTGAAGGAGTGAAAGGGGAGGTGTTTTCTCACACTGGGATCTAGGACAAGCCCTCTACAGGCACTCCCAGCCTCAACCCACTACGGCTCCATCATTCCCAGAGGGTCCTGAGGCTCCTCTTGAGCCTGGAAACCAGTTCCATGCAGGGCATTAGGCTCCAAGAGGTTGACAATGTAAGGGAACTGCCATTCAACTTTGAGCCAGGCAGGCCAGAATTCCTCTCCTCGGTTTGCCATTTACGTGCTGTGTGACCTTCGCTCATTTAGGTGTATCTTTAATGCCTCTCTGCTTCACTCTCCTAATCGGGAAGTGGGGCAACAGGCTTCTCATTCAGAGCGTCTGGCAGCCAAGTCAGATTCAGACCAAGGCTCACATGGTTAATTCAATACACGATAGTTTCCTCTTGGATTCAGACAGGTCTGAGTTCTAGTCTCAGTCCCATCTCTTCCTGGCTGAGATCTTGGGCCAGCTCATGTGTTCACACAGATTGAATAGCTGCTTACAATGTGCCGGGCCTTAAGCTACATGCTGGGCAAACAGTGGTAAATAAAACAGGCAGTCCCAGGTTTGTGGGGGCTTGTAGTCCAGCAAGAGAAATGGAGACTAAGAAAATAATCATGCAAATAATTATGTAATCATGGTAGTTGTAAATGATGTGAAAGAACAGCGAGTGGACAAGGCAAATGATAGGGCATCAGGGAACGTTTCTCCCAGAAAGTGACATTGCAGCTGCTTGGTAAAGGCTGTGGGGGCCTTGGCCAGGGAAGTCCAGAAGAGGAGGAGAGGAAGGGAGCTGTGTGTGCAAAAGCCCTGAGGCAGAAAGGAGGAGGCACCTTGGAGGCCAGTGAGATGGAGGGGCAGAGGAACTCCAGAAGAAGGGTGGAGAATGGCTGAGTCTCACCGGGCCTTTGGGGGCCTTGTGACATACTGAGGAGTTGGGACTTTTTCCTGACACTTGGGGAGCCATTGGAGATTTTAAACAGGGGAGTAATGTGATCAGATTAGCATTTTCCAAAGCCACTCTCACTGCAGGGCAAAGAATGGAGTGCAGGGAATGATGAATTGAGGTAACCAGTGAGGAAAAGGTATAATTACTCATGGCAGAGATGACAGAAACTTTGAAATAGAGACCACTGGGCTTATTTCAGAACTGACTGCACAGGAGAATCTAAAGGATTTGGTGACTGAGTGACACAGGGGGTGGAACATGGCTGACTTGGAAGGTATTTCCTGAGACAGGGTAGTGGGGATGGGAGCCCTGCGTGGAGCTGTCCCTGGTGATGAGTGAGGGGTGCCTGTGGGGGGCGCCCTGGAGACAGTGGCTTTGCTGAGTATACAAGCTCAGGAGCCAGACCTTGGTGGGTGATAGGGGCTCTCAAGTCATCAGTGTCTGGTGCGGATGAAAAGTCTTGCTCACAGACAAGCAGTTTCAAAAACTGGAGTCATAAACTGTGTGTTAAAAAAGCATCCCCACCCTTGATGGAGCTGTGTGTGCGGTTCCCAGGTGGGTCCCTCATTACACCTGGGCGCCAGCTTATCCCTGTGGGACCTGACGAAAGTATCTCCCAGGACTGGAACAGGTTCTGACATCAGCACCTACCCTGCCCTATGCAAAAATGGCCCCAGGTCCCAGGGCAACCCTTCGCTAATGGTTGCTCCAGCTCTCCTAGGATCCTGGGCCGTCTGCCTCTCTGCCCTATTCTCAGTTGAGCCCCCCATAGCCTGGGAGATCTGGGGACCAGTTATCCCTGGAAATCATACACCCCTTTTCATGTATTCTCAAGAGTATTTAACATTCTATTGATTTAACACTAATAAAGTTCTATTTGATATTTTTACATAATTATACTGAGGAAGGTACAGACCAGGCACTGCTCTAAGCCCTTTACAAACACTAAGTCATTTAATTCTCAGAGCGCTCCTGGAGGTGGGTCCTCTTACCATCCCAGTTTTATAGAGAAACCCGGGCTCAGGGAGGGAAGGCTGTCTGAGATCACTCAGCTGGAAGGTGGAGGTGCCAGGATTGGGCCTGATGTCTGTCTGAGGACAGAGCCTATGCTGACTGCCTAGACAGGAAATCAGAGCTGGGGACTGGTTGCTGGACCGCTCATGTGGGCGGTGGGCAGTAATAGGGGCACAGGGTGAAAGGGATGGGGTGCCAGGTTGGGCGCTGGGTCCTCCTGGGCCCAGCTGGGCTGGGACCCCTTGGTGATGCCCAGTGAACTGCTCCTCATTCACGTGGCAAGGTCCCCAGGGCAGCCAAGGCGCCAGGCTGGGCTGTGGATCTGACACCTCCTGCTGCCGGGCTCTGATCAGAATCTGGCTCTGGGGCAGGGGACGAAACTGAACCCAGACAGACCTCCTCTGGCTTGGAGGGCGCCACAGACACCCAGACCCCACTCCTCGCCACTGCCCCGGTCCTGCCTCTGGTAGCCTTCTTGGAACCACTGGAGTCTGTGCCCACCCTGGGGCTGTGGCTTTGGCCCTGGGCTCTACGCTCCAAGGTCCCCAGGGAGCCATGCCTAGGCCCCCGCCCAGCCGGCTCTCAGGTGAGCCACAGGGATCAGGTTACCCCGGTGTCATGTCCCGCATTGTTCTTGGCTAGGCCCTGGCTTATGAAACAGTAATGAGGGGCCCCTGTTCCTGCAGCCCGCCCCTCTAAGGTTTCCACTGCCTCGGCCGCTGCTGCCACGGCTCAGAGTTGTGGCCTGGGAGGGCGGCAGCGTGGGGGCCTGAGCTGGAGCCCCCCGGGAACGAGGGTGCTGACAGCCGACAGCCGCAGCCACCAGAGCCCAGGTAACCTGAGACAAGGCAGGGTACAGGGTGCTGTGGCCGCTTTCTCCCACCACCGGGGAGGGCCCTGCCACCCCGGGAGGTGGAGAGGAGTGGGGGGGCCTTCTGGGAGGTGAGCAGCCGTTCCCCCTGGGTAAGCCCAGCACCAGCCTTTCCAGGTGTGGCCTTGCTGAGGGCTGGAGGGAGAAGCAGTGGCTAGGGCCCTGCCCTCGCCCCTGGGGCCTTGACCCCCTAGCCCCGGAGCCCCCCACCCGTCCTTTAGTAGGGCAAACCTGTTCTGTCCTCCAAGGACTTATTTTCCCATCTCCTCCTCTCCCAGCCTACCTCTTCCTCCCTCAGACCTTTTCCTTCATTCTGCAAGCTGGCTTAATCCTGCGTCCTCTACCCTCCCTCCTCACCCTTGTCCCCTTTGGGGCCTTTTGTCACTTCACGTCCTCAAACTCACACACACATATGTGCCAACACACACATATACATAAACTTCCATGCACCTGTGCAAACATATGCATTAGAGTACCCACTGGATTTGCATATACATGCATGCATGTGTGCATACTTGCACACGCAATGGCTTTACACACACACACATACCTATACACACATGCATGCATGCACACCCTGTGTACCTCTGCCAGCACCCCGGCGTGGGTCCCATGGGGCGCTTCCATCTTGACAGGCAGCTCTCCTGGAGAAGTGTGATATCCCAGGAGATGCTGGGAGGTTCTTCCACACCACCAGGAGGAGATGGGGGGAGGGACTGGGCAGGGGAGGGGATCCCCCACGTGGGCCATGAGCTGCCTCCTCTCTCCAATTCTGTCCCAGGATCCCAGGAGCCCTCCAAGTGCTGAGGTACCCTACTGTGACCTGCCCCGCCGCCTGCCTGCACCTGAGGACCCACTTGGTGCTCCAACCTCCTGCTGCCAGTCTGTGGTGGGCCTGGGCTTCAGTCCAGGGCCTGAGAGGTAGGTAGAGCCCTGGGGGCTGGGGAGGGCCTCCCTAGGGTAGGATGCCTTTAGCCACCCCATCTGATACCCCTTCATGTTGGCAGCACCTGTCTGATGGCTGTTGGTGTGGGTCACAGGGTCAGTCCACACAGGCAGGCTGTGGGCATTCCCTCAGGCCCTAGCTCAGCTTCACTCCATGGTATGGAGAGCTATGCACCTGCCCTGAAGTGGGCATGGTCCACAGCCTGCTCACATTTCCTGGTTCCCTTTGCACAGTTTTAAAATATCAGTCTCTCAAAGACCCCTGTTAGCCCCATGCAATTCTATCTTCCTCTCTTACTGAGCTTGAGGACCCCACTCCTAATCCAGTGACAGAGGGTTGGTGCTGGGGCCACAGCCCTGGTTCACAATGCAGCTCTGTCTTGCCTTCGCTCTGTGAACTTGGTCAGTCCCTTGACCTCTCTGAGACTCAGTTTCTTTATCTGTAAAACAGGAATCACTACACTCACTTCAAAAGGAGGTTGTAGCTAGACATGGCAGCTCATGTAAAGAACCATCACAGAGATCCCTCAGTTTTGGCTCTTCCACTCTAATGTAAGGTGTGGGTGTCCCTGGGTGGAGGTGTTACTCCCTCATTCCCATTCCTTTCTGGAGAAAAAGTCATGAATCTGTGTCCTCTCCCAGGGGCCCGTTGGCAGAGCTTCCTGCAGAGGGCTCCAGAGCCGCCTCCAGAGGCAGGAGCTGGGAACCAGGGGCAGTGCCCTATCTGGAGGGCCTGGCCTCCCCACCGTGCGGCAGCTTCGACGAGGGCCCTGACTCTGGCCCCAGCTCCAGCCTTGCCTGTGACACCCCTGATGATACCAGCAGCGCGTCCTCCACGGTGAGCTGGGCGCAGGAGGCCAGGAGCAAGGGCAGATCACCCTCTGTGCCAGCCCTGAGGTCTCACCCAAATGTCCAGACAATGGCTGAGCCTCTCACACCAGGGAACTGGGCCAGGGTCACCTGGAGACTTGGCTGGAGCCTCAGGCCACCCAGACCAACCACCTGGGAGGGGAAGGGGTCTCTGCAGGGCCAGCACAGGGGGCTGAGAGTCTAGCTCTGCAAAGAGGGAAGAAGGAGTTTCAGTTCACAGGAAGTTCCAGTGAATCAGCAGCGGGCTCAGGCTGCCAAAACCTCTCAAATCACAGAGGACCAGGGTGTTGGGCGTGGTGTCCAGAGCAAGCATGGGACTGGCCCTAAGCCCTGCCCTGGTCACACCCTGCCGAGCCCGTGACCAGCCCTGGCATAGATTTCCAAGGGACAGAGAAAAGGGAGCAGGTCGGGGTGGGGGTGCACCGGCAAGGGCTGGGGGCTATTTGGCCGGGAGAAGAGAGACCCAGGGAAACTTGGGGGGGCAGGGTTTTCACCCCTCAAAGGGCTGTCCTGGAGCAGAAGGGGCAGGTTATCTATGAACTTCCTGGGCCAAAGATGGGAAGGTAGGCAAGGGCTTAAGAAAGCTTACCACCAGCTTTAAGGTTTGGGGGTGGGAAAACTGAGGCCCAGAGAAGGGAAGCCCCACATCTTGGAAGTGAAGGGGCCGCACTTTGAACCCACCTCTCTGGACCCTGGGAGTGTCTCAGGAGGGGGCTGCCATGCCAGTGCCCTCATACCACATGCTCAGACTGCCTGGGTTCAAATCCCCTCTCACATAAACCATTTTCCAGCTGTGTGACTTTGAGCAAGCTCTTGGCTCCAATGGACAGGCTGCCTTACAGAGTTGATTTAAGATTATCTGAGTTAACACCTGCAAAGAGCCCAGCAGCGAGCTAGGTATACAGCAGGTGCTTATTCAGTGTCTGTTCCTTGCCCTTTCGCTTTCTCCTCCCCTTCTCTGGCAGAACTGGGACACTGACGAGTGGTGGAAGGAGGCGCCCGCCTGGGACGAGCTCACTGTGATGATCCCGAGGAAGCCCCAGGAGGGGCCAAGAGCTGACAGTGCCCGAAGGGCTCCACATCTCCTCACCCAGCCCCCTGCAGGACGAGATGCTGCAGGCCAGAAAAAGGAGGTCCCTGTGATCACAGGTGCGGTGATAGCCTGGGACCTGGGACCCAGAGAGCCATCCCATTGGTCATCTGAGTCCCTGGGCACATTTCACTTTGGTAGCCTGAGTCTTAGCAATAGTAACAGTTCCCCTGTAGTTATGTAGCAGCCATGATGTGCCATGCTACCTGCTTTAAATATATCATCTCATGACCGGTTAGTTAGGATCAGGTTGCAATAGACAAAAACTGGCTGAACACAAATGGAATATCTCACATACATAAAAATTTAGAGGGATGTGACTTCAGGCATAGCTGGATCCAGGTGTTCAAACAGTATCAGAAATCTGGTCTCAGCTATGTTTTCTTCTGTATTGGCTTCATTCTCAGCTAGACCTCCCCCAGTAGTAGCATGATGAGCAGCGGTACCAGACTGTATTCTACCTGCTTATCACCTCCCAAGAAAGAGGGCACAATCTTCCCAATTGGTATAATTAAAGTCCCAGGAAGGGTTCTCCCTGGGGGACCCACCATGAGTTGTATATCCAACCTGGTGATCAGATGGGGTCAACCCCCTGTACAAACCTCGTGGCCTGAGAGTGGGGGAAAGGAGATTGCCCAAAGGAAGCCAGGGTGATCCTATTCCCAGAGAAAGGGGAAAGAAGGCTGCCACCAAGCCCACAGATGCCCATGACACTGGTCAGCATCTCCCGAGTGTGTGAGCCCAGTACAGGCAATGGGAGCTTGCAGAGCATGGGAGGTGGGGAGAGGAGGTGGTGTGGGGGGGTTACCAGCAATCAGACCCTCCCTCCAGACCTGTTTCTCCTGCAGCCTGTTCTACATCACCACCATTCTAGTGGCTTAGGCTCCAAGTCTTGTGTTGTCCTAATTTTTCTCTTCCTTTACCCTTTGTGTCCAATTAGCAGCACTTTTGGTCGGTGTTGCCTCCGAAACACACCTGAGATTTCTGCCTTTCTTGCCATCTGTACCAGCACCCTCTGGCCAACTGCCCCTTCAAGCTCTCCTGTTTTTGCCTGGCCCTTTCCAGCCACAGCAGCTGAAGCCATCTTTCAAAAACATCAATAAGATCTTGTCACCACCCCACCCCCATTGCCTCGGCCTCTCAAGCACTGGGGTGAGGGTGTGTGGGAATAATAGCACAAAGGAACCAAATGACACCCTGGGGTGGGAATGGCCTGATGGGCAGGTGGGATTGTGTACTAAATACTTGCTTTTTGCTCCTAAACACAAGGGTGGTACTGGGGGGGGACCTTTACTGTGTGACTTGTTTGATCAAAGGTGGTCACCACTGGCCACCTGGTGGCAGATTCTGAAATTGCAGGCAGGGGGCTAAGGCCAGGAGGACATCTCTAAGATGCCTGGAAATCCTTAACATCTCTCTGGGGGCACCTCCGAATCTGCACAGGACACTTTGTGGGACAGACTGCGCAGAGCCCCGTTGGCAGAGGGACAGGGCACAGCATGCCCTAGGATGTCTGTAGAGCCTGTCCTGTATGCCCACCAAGGGGGCTACAGGAGTGAAGTCAGATCCTGGGTGGGCCAGGCTCAAAGGGATGCTTAAGATGGACAGGGAAGAGAAGAAGCCGGCGCTGGAGGCACTGACCTGGCTGCGAGCCCCTGGGAGTGGTGGCAAATGCCATCTCTGCCAGCACCCATGCTCAGAGGGTGGGAAGACTCCAGGACAAGGCAGAACTCAGAACTGGAAGGTGGCAGCACAGTATCATTGAGCATGCTGGTGTGCTAAGTGCTTTTCTAAGCCCAGGACTTAGAATGGAAAACAAGAAGGCTAGGCCCTTACCAGTGCTTAGTCCAGAGGCTTGTGGGGGCAGGCAGACTCTCTTGCCAGCCATGGGAAATCCCTGGATTTTATTCCCAGTGCAGTTTGGAGCCCCACAAGTTTCTTCTAACCTTTTAATTTGAAATAATTTTAGATGTATAGAAGAGTTGCAAAGATACGAAGTACAGAGAGTCTCTATTGTACCCCTCACCTGGGATCCATGAATGTTGACATCTCACATTACCATAGCACAGTGATCAAGTTGAGAAGTTAACACTGGCACAGTCCTGCTAACCTACAAACTTTATTCATACTCACCCATTTTCCCACTACTGCTGTCCCTTTCTGGCCCAGGATCCCACACTGCACTTGGTTACCACGTCTCCTTCATTTACTCCAATCTTGATAGCTTTTCTGTCTCCCATTATAAGCAGGGGTGAGCTCACCAGGTTTGCTTTGGGAAAGGGTCTCCCTGGGTGGAAGTTGACCTTGGGCTAGATCCACATGTTGGAGGACTATTGCTACCATCCAGGAGAGAAATGAGAGTAGCTGCGAGTGGGGAGGAGGGAGGAGATGGATTTGGAGGGTCGCAGGCCCTCAGACAAGAACACTGAGAATTCCTAGTGCCTCTGTGGGCTCGGTGCCAGTTCCCTGCTGGGTGCTGGAAATTCAGACTTCACTGGCGCTAGCTCAGAGGGTCTGGAGAAAGCAGAGCTTTCAAAGTGGGAGGAGGCGGGATCTTCAGCATGGCCTTCAGTGAAGGCAGTCATGGCTTGTCAAGATGAGGCCAAGGCACTGTGCTTCTCTCCTGAAGCACCAGCCCAGGGGTGTGCACACAGCGGGTGCCCACCACATGCTCAGTGACCAAGGGACTGAGCAGGGTTGAGGGTGACACTGAGATCATGGTGGCCCATTCATGGTGATGGGAGTTGTGCAAGAGTCCCTCTTCAGGGCAGTTACATTAATCCCTTAGACCAGGACTTCTTAAATTGTAACGTGCATGAAGATTGCCTGGGAATCTTATTAAAATGTGGATTCTGGTGCCCTGTGCCCAGGGTGGGCCCTGAGGGTACACATGTTTATCAAGCTCCCAGGTGAGGCTGATGCTGCTGGCCCATCCCATCGCGGGCCTCAGGGCAGGAACCTCTGGGTTTAAGGAATGGGAGCTTTCTAGAGTTCTCACACAAGAAAGAGGCCCATTAAAAGAAATGGCGAAATTTCTTGGAATCCAGTTGTGGGAAGTAGAACAGGGAACGGGAAGTTGTCAGGCACCTGATGCTTGGCCCGCCTCTCCCTTCCTGGGGTCCCTCAGGCTGTTGTCCGGCTGCTCTCTCTGCGGATGCTTCTTCTCTGACTTGTCTGTGGACTCCCGAGTCACATGACTTTCCAGCTCTGACACCTCCCCCACCACTGACTGAGTCGGCTTGAGTCTCAATTTCAAATTTCTAGCCTCAGTCAGGCTTGAGAGAGACATCAAAGCCCTCCTCCTCTGCTTTGGTCAGAGGGTGGAGCCACTTGGTCTGGACTGTGGGTCTTCCAAGAAGAAAGTGTAGGGTCTTCCCTAACCATCTGTCCCAGGGGACAAAGAAAGGTCACGTGTGAGAGCTGCCTGGCCTCTCCCCTTACCTTGAACTGGCTTCTTCTCTCTCCAGACACTGAAAGTGGGAGCCGAAATACTGGACAGCACTGGGCAAAGCTCCGGGGAGAAAGTGGGTACTTCTCCTTGGAGCCGCACCGGTCAGCGCTAAGCCAGGCTTCCTCTGCGACACCACAGAGTGGACCTCGAAGTGCCACCCACCAAGCCCCCTCTCTCCATCGCTCTGCCCAAAAGGGAGTTAGCCAGACGGCTTTCACACAACCTGACACCCCCAAAGCCTCTTCTTTCCACCGAGCCACCCAACGGGATACTCCCAGGACTTCGTCTGCCCAACAGGACACCCCCAGGACTTCTCCCACGCAGCAGAACACCCCCAGAGCATCCTCCCCTGCAAGAATCGCTCAACGGGACACCCCCAGAACCTTCTCCCCCAACTGGACCTCCCAACGGGACACCCCCAGAGCCCCTTCTCCCAACCGAACCTCCCAACGGGACACCCCCAGGACCTTCTCTCCCAACCGGACCTCCCAACAGGACATCCCCAGAGCCTCCTCTCCCAACCGGACCTCCCAACGGGACACCCCCAGGACCTTCTCTCCCAACCGGACCTCCCAACAGGACATCCCCAGAGCCTCCTCTCCCAACCGGACCTCCCAACGGGACACCCCCAGGACCTTCTCTCCCAACCGGACCTCCCAACAGGACATCCCCAGAGCCTCCTCTCCCAACCGGACCTCCCAACGGGACACCCCTAGAACCTTCTCCCCCAACCAAACCACCCAACGGGACACCCCCAGAGCCTCCTCTCCCAACAGAACCACCCAACGGGACACCCCCAGAACCTTATCCCCCAACCGAACCACCCAACGGGACACCCCCAGAGCCTCATCTCCCAACCGAACCACCCAACGGGACACCCCCAGAGCCTCCTCTCCCAACCGGACCTCTCAATGGGACACCCCCAGAGCCTCATCTCCCAACCGAACCACCCAACGGGACACCCCCAGAACTTCTCATATTCAACAGAACACCTCCAGAGCCTCTTCTACCCAACGAGACAACCCTAAAACCTCTTGTACTCAAAGGGATAATCCCAGAACTTCTCATACCCAAAGGGACAATCTGCTATCCTCTTCCTTTCGGCGAGACAACCTTGGGGCCTCCTCCCCTCAGTGCTGCACCCAGCAGGACAATCCTGGACGATCATCTCCCCATCGCTCCGCTCAGTGGAACAATCCCAGGAATTCTCCCCATCGTACCAACAAAGATATCCCCTGGGCCTCCTTTCCCCTCCGGCCAACCCAGAGTGAAGGTCCCCGAACTTCTTCCCCACTTCGCTCCAAGCAAAGTGAGATTCCCTGGGCATCGATCACCCTTCGGCCAACTCAAAGTGACAGGCCTCAGACTCAAAGTAGACCAGCTCAGCGTGACCCGCCCCTGTCCTCTGGCCCTATGCAACACCACTCACCATCCGGGGCCACTTCCTCCTCCCTTAACCCGGGCCATCACAATGCCTCCCGGACTTCCTCGCCTCTGAACCCCGCTCCCCGCAGGTCATCCCAGCCCTCTCTTGAGCCCTCCCCGCCTCCCTGTGCCGTGTGCATTGGGCACCGGGATGCCCCTAGAGCCTCTTCACCTCCTCGCTATTTGCAACATGACCCTTTCTCCTTCTTCCCAGACTCCCATGCATCTGAAGGTGAGTTGCCCCACCACGATCCCCCCTACATGCCCCCGGCTGTGTGCATTGGACACCGGGATGCCCCCCGGGCTTCCTCACCTCCCCGCCACACTCAGTTTGACCCCTTCCCCTTCCTCACAGATACATCAGTTACTGAGAACCAGTCCCCCCAGCACGACCCTCCTCAGTTCCCCCCACCTGTGTGTATTGGGTACCGCAATGCACCTCGGGCCTCCTCCCCACCACGCCAGGCCCCAGAGCCCTCCCTCTTGTTCCAGGATCTCCCTAGGGCCAGCACCGAGAGCCTTGTCCCCTCCACAGACTCTCTGCATGAGCCCCCCCACATCCCCACCCCTGTGTGCATTGGGCACCGAGATGCACCATCCTTCTCCTCCCCACCACGCCAGGCCCCTGAGCCCTCCCTCTTCTTCCAGGACCCCCCAGGGACTAGTATGGAGAGCCTGGCCCCTTCCACTGACTCTCTGCATGGCTCCCCAGTGATGCCCCCGCAAGTCTGCATTGGGCACCGGGATGCACCGCGAGCCTCCTCCCCACCCCGCCATCCCCACAGTGACCTAGCTCTCCTGGCCTCCTCACCTCCACCAGGCAGCGCAGGGGGCTCCCGGGGCTCAGCACCCCCTGGGGAGACCAGGCACAACCTGGAGAGGGAGGAGTATACCATGCTGGCTGACCTGCCCCCACCCAGGAGGCTGGCGCAGAGGGAGCCAGGGCCCCAGCGCAGCAACGGGGGGCGCACCCGCAGCCCTGGCCGTGCAGAGGTGGAGCGCCTCTTCGGGCAAGAACGCAGGTGAGCCCCGGGAAGGGTCAGCCAGGTGGGCTGGGGAGGAGGCTCGGGCGAGGGACAGTTGGAAGGTTCACAGGCTTATGTTGGCAGATGGAAAGGGTCCAGACCCCTACCCTGTTACTTGCTGGCTCTGTGACCTTGGGCAAGTCACTTCTCTCTCTGTTTCCACATCTTAGGAGGTTTTGGGGTTTTTTGACAATGAAATGATACTGTGCACAGCCTAGTGGTTAAGAGTAAAGACCAGGGTCAGGCAGGCTGGTTCAAATCCTGGGATCAAAACCGCTCCCCAACCTGTGACCTGGTAAGGTAATTTGACCTACCTGAGCCTCAGTTTCCTCATCTGTAAAATGATAACATTAGTACATTAATTTAAATGAGGTTAAAGTCTCAAACCCTGTGTTTGATCCAGAGCCAGAGGTTTATTTTGTTTTCCCTCATTATATAAGAGAGAAGAAGAAAGTATCATGGTTCTTTTGGGGCACGACAAAGATGTCAATTTAAAACATAAGGCCACAGCCACATATTTTTAAGTAAAAGGGCTCACAGGATTAGACCTTGAAGAGGTTAACTGTGACTTTCCTGAGACAGGGCCTGAAGTCCAGGTCTCCTGCCAGTCTCCTTGGTCAGCAGCACTGCCCAGGTGGTTTATGATCACACACAGCATCCTCGTTTCCACAACCGCAGGGAGGGGAAACATTTCCTCCTGAGCTGGCTGAGATTTCTTTTGCCAGCAGTTCCAGACTTGCAATTTTCAAGGATCAGGGCTGGAATTCCTTTAGTTTGAGTCAAGAGAACAAAAAGCAGGTCTGGAAGTCTCAAATTTTTACAGTGTACAAGTCAGTGAATTATAGTGTATTTACCAAAAGGTTGATAACAACCATCACCACAACCTAATTTTAGAACCTTCCTTTTACCCTAAAGAAACGGGTAGTATTTTGTATCCAGAATTCCTCTCTTTTTTGTCCAGTAGGCAATATTTTTCTCTTAGAGTTGCATCTCCACGAGAAACCTCTCTTATTCTTCAAATTTACTTTTCCAATAAGTTTGGTCCATTTACTATCAAGGTGACAACTTTGTGGTCTCCAATATTAGTATAATTCTTTGGCCTTTTTTTTTTCTTTTTAAAGAAAAAGCACTAATTTTCTTAAGGCAGTTTCAGGTTCACAGCAAAATTGAATGGAAAGTACAGAGAGTTCCCACAGACCCCCTTCTCCACACCTCACACACAGCCTTCCGCACTGTCGACATCTGTGCACCACAGTGGTTCATTTGCTACAATCCATGACCTATATTGACCCGTCGTCAATATCTGAGTCCATAGTTTACATCGGGGTTCACTCTTGGTGTTGAACATTCTGTGGATTTGGACAAATGTTTGCCATGTATCCATATTATGGTATCATCAGGGTAGTTTTACTGCCCTAAAAACTCCCTTTGTCTTTGGCCTTTTTATGATGACTATTTTTGGTCTGATGTCAAGTTACATACCTTTATTTGATAATTCAGTAGAGACACCAAGGTCCTTAAACCAAAGTTAAATTTTCTTCTTTTTCTTACAGGGATAACTTTTAGAGAGATAAAGGGTTTATAATAGAAATCAGGAATGTGCTTATGCTTTTGTTAACCATTTAATTGTTTTTATATAGATACTGCTATTTTATTTTATTCTCTTTGAAGTTGATTACCTTTTTAAAAATTTTTTTGAAGTATAACTGATATACAAAAAAACTACATATATTCAATATATACATTTTGGTGGAATAGATTATTTATGGTTAACCAAAGTGTTATAACTATGAGTAATTGTCTTCCTCTTATATGGCATTTTTTCCAAGTAGAAAACTATTTGTCCTCTGAACCTGAAAATGTAAAGCCTATTTAAGTATCTGTAGAAGACAGACTGAAATTTATGAATTTATGAGTGGGTGGCTATAGAGTTTACTTTTATTTTCTCCCATTTCCCATTCATTGAACATTTATTTATTGAGCATCTACTCTGTCCAAGCATTGTCAAACTAAGTCTGGAATTCTTTTCTTGAAGGGCTATCACATTAAAGCATTAGGAGTTTTGGCTGGATATCTTCATTTTTTTTCACTAGATGCCTTTGGAATCTCTTAGACTAATATAATCGTTTCATAGTTTCTTGACTTCAAAACAGAGCCCTCATGGAATTTACTAGATGTGATGGCTTTTGTCCTTTAATACTCTCTGGAAGTGGAAGAGCCCATCCAAGCTTCCAAAAGAAGATAAAGATAGACCTGTTGAGATAAAGTTAGACCTGTTAACTTCCAAATTCCAAAGTTTCCTTTGTCACCCTTGGCATAGCCACACCAACACTCAGGAACAGAACAGATGGCCCGAGAGGACACTCCTGCTTAGCATCAGAAAGCTGGGTCTCTGTTGGAGTCATCAACTCCTTGAGTCCTTCACTCCTATTTCAGTTTCACGCAGGGGTGGAGGGACTTCTCACAAGGGATGGTCACTGAGCAAGCTGGAGTTTATATGGAAAATGCATCCACTCAAAAGAGCATACATTTACTTCCCAACCCTGCACTGACTACTTTCTGCCATTGTCTTCCCTACCTAGCCACATTTGGGGCTTTTGCATCACAGATGCTCCTACCCCCAGTTCTGGGGGAAATTTACTGTAAGGCCTTAGAGCAAAGAACTGCCCTTCTCCGAATTAGATTAAAAATTGCACCTGATCAGGCGGCCCTCAAACTTAGAAACTCTTCCTCCCAGGGGAGGGAGCTTTGGTTCCCTGGGTGTCAGGTAAGAGTCACTAAAAACTCAAATTACTTTATGGCTCTGATTCTGATGACACCGGCAAAAGCCCTAAGACAGTCCCAACACACCCAAAGCCATTTCCTTCTCTCTGAGGCCTGTGTAGAGTTCCAGCAGAGTTCTCCTGCTGGAGGCAGAGGGCCGAGCATCTGATTCTGCTCAGACCTCAGCAGTTTCCTCTTCCCTTTGTGCTGGCTCGGTCGGGGCTCGGGGCTCAGCACCAGGTCATCTGTTTCAGGCTTCCCCCAGTTCAGTTCAGTCATTAGAGTCAGAGCTCCATTTGTCACCTGAGATAAAGTCAGACCTGTTGAAATAAACATCCAGTGGAGTGGTTAAGTTTTTTGTTTTGACCCCCTTCCATATGGGAGAGGAGAGATGTGCCCAGATTTTGTTCGGTGTTCCTACCTTTCAACAGAAATGTCATGTGAAATATTAATAACCGTGGCTACCAATTATGTAACAAGACAACTAACTGGAAATATGGACTTTTTACAGCTTCTCTTAGAAGTTATCTTCATTGGATTAGCCAACATCTGAAGTCCAGGTGTCTTAGAAATGACATTTGCATGGACAGTTGTGTTGGCCTTTCTAAAATTTTGGAGGAAGAGAAGATATTTCTTCCTTCTGATCTTGGTGAGAGCTCTTTTCCCAACAGCTAGGATGGCCTGGAGTTTTCAAGGCTTAGAACTGGAATCCTGAGAACTGAGGGGAAAAATAGGTGGGCCTGGGAAATCCAAAACTTACCTTATGGACAGGAAGAGGGTATAAAGAATGGAATATGGGGACACATTACATTCTGCATCTCCTGACCTTACCTCCTAGATTTATGCGATATGAGATGAGCTGGTCAAGGGTTTGGCACCCAGAACACAGGAAGTGCCCAATAAATGTTTTCCATTATGATCATCACAGTGCCTGGTACACAGTAGGTGCTCAGTAAATCTTAATTCTAACCAGTCTAATGGATCGGTCCCACTTTGTCTGGGAGTGAGTGTGGGTTGCTGGTGGGGGCTGTCAGAAATAGAAAGTACTGAGGGAGACAGGAGGCAGTCAAGGCCAAAGCTGATCCCCACCTTTGCTCACCCCTTTTCTCATTTTATCACTCCATAAGGCAGGGAGAATAGAATGGTGTCGACCATCCTCATTTTTTAGAAGGGGAAACTGAGGCCCTAAGAATATCATTGCTCACTTAGGGCCCCTCAGTGAGCCTGTGGTGGGTCCCTGGATCTCCCACGTCCCCTCCCATTGGGGGTAAGAGTATAGGAGCTGGGGTTCTGGGAGTGGGACAGTCCCAAGGGCCCTCAGAGGGGTGGCAACATTTGCTCATAGGAAGTCCGAGGCACCGGGGGCCTTCCAGGCCTGGGATGAGGGGCGGTCACAGCGGCCCAGCCAAGGTCAGAGCCAACTTCTCCGAAGACAGTCCAGCCCTGCCCTCAGCAGGGAGGTGAGCACTGCCAGCCTGCCCTGGGCCCCCAAAGGGTGGGCCACTACTTCTCCCCTCCCCCAAGTGCCAGGCAGGGGGCCCGGGAAGGGGTCCTGTATGAAAGGCTCAGAGTCCCAATCATGGGTGTTCAGCTTTCCCATCTCCTGAAAAGCCAGCAGCTCTTGGCAAAATTGCTAAGGACCCCAGATTAGTCCTTTGAAGATGGCTTTTCCTTGCTGCCCCTTCCTTCATTAAGTACTGCTGCCTTGAGAAGTTTTTAGGGAAAGCCTCTGATGCATCAGCCCAGCTCTGAAAGCTGTCTCTTCTAGGTTGGGGGTTTGTATTTTTAAAGAAACTCTTAGAGGGCAAGGCCTGACCTGGTGGAAAGGCATATCGGTGGTGGAAATTCCGGCACCTGATAGCCCAGGCTGGAATCAGTATCCGCGGGGAGGGGAAGCCAGGAAAGTGAGCAGCATTTTGCAGATCTCTTCCTGAAACTGAGGACAGGGGGTGCGAGGGAAGAGCTGACACCCTCAAGGATCCAGTGACCCTAGGTACTTTTGTCCTGCTTTAGTCCAGGTTGCTGTGTAGACACAGCTTGCCTCTCCCTGGAGGCCTGGCTCAGATCCCAATTTTCCATCTTCCTAGAGAGAGACACCTTGTTGGTCCTGGGGCCTCACCCACCTCCTCACCTCATCTTCAGGTAACCAAGCTGCTTGTAAAGCAGACAGAATCAGCCCAGCGGAGCAGAGCAGAGCCCTCTCATCCCAGGAGCCCCGAGAGGCAGCCTGAGGGGAACCGGCAGCTTCAGAGGCCCTCATTGCCCTCAAGGACATCACCCAGGACCCCTGAGAGGGAGCAGCGGACAGAGAGACTTCTGGAAAGTGGCCGGGTGGGCCCACGACAGCCTCTGCAGGGGTGTCAGAGTCAGGAGGAAACTCCAGGATCCCGGGGCCCTGCCAGATACCCAGAGAGAGGCTGGAGAAGCCAGGAGGAGGGCCCAAGCCTGGGGGCCTGGCAAGAACTTGGGGAGCCCAGTCAGGGGGCTGCCAGAGCCTGGGAGGAAACCTGGAAGGGCCCTCCCAGGGAGTCTGAAGAGAACTGGGGGCAGCCAGGGGGCCCCACTTGCCTCAGGGGACAGTCAGAGGCCTGGGAAGGGCCCCTGAGTAATGGGCTGCTGAAACCCCAAGACAGGCCAGCTCAGAGGGGCTGGGGCAGCCTGCAAGAGCTGTCCAGTCCTCATCAGCCTATGAGCTCCCCAGAGAATTCCATAGTGGGCCCCTCAGAGTTCTCACAGTCCTGGAGGTCTGAGACATTGACTGCCACAGGCCGGGGGGCCGAGGGAGCATGCCCACACCTGACTGGCACTGAGAGGTGCCCTGAGCTTGACTGGAAGGACCTCCTGGGCCTTCTTGGAGCCCCCAGAGAGGGGGCTTGGGCTCCCAGGGAGGAGCCAACACTTGACTCCCATCTTCCCAGGCTGGACTGGGAAGGCCTCATGGAGCTTCTGCAGGCCCAGCTGCCCGGCAAGGACCCAGCTGGACACAGGGGTGGCCTGGGCACGGCTTCAGGGGCAGAACTGGGTTTCCCAGGCACAAAAGATGCCCTGGAGCAAAAGCAACACAGCCAGCCCGAAGGCTGGCAGGAGAGCACACTAGTCAAAGGACACGGCCCCCGGCAGTGGCCCCAGAGCTCAGCCCAGCCATCCAGCCCTGCCTGCATCTCCACCCAGTGGCCAAAGACCAAAGTGACAAGTAAAGCAGAGACCTCCGCTATGGCTGGTTTGGAGGACACAGGCCAGCTGGGGAGCAGTAGCCCTGCAGAGGGCCCCGGCTTGCCAGCATGGGAGGTAAGTCAGTCCCACTTCTGGGGGGCAGCCTGAAAGCCAGCGCCACCACAGACAAGTGCCCTGAGAAAGGCCTTCCCCCAGATGCTGTACACCCTTTAAGGCTCAGCCCCAATCCTCCCTCCTGAGGACCTTTCCCAACCGCCAAATGGGACAACTATGATAATGACCGACACTTTTTTGAACATTTACTATATGTTAAGCCCTGGTCTGTATGTTTAATGGGTACTTTCCTCACTTAATTTCCATAGCAACCTGATAAGAAAAGCACTGTTTATTTACACATAAAGAAACTAAGACACAGAGAGGTTAAGCCACTTACTCAAAATCCTGCAGCTACGAAGGGCAGGGGCAGAGGTGGACTCCAGGTCTGCTCAGTGCAGATCGCCCTGAGGCCTCAAGCAGGCTGCTCTGGCCAGGGCCTTCTCTCCTCCTGGCCCCACAACACCTGGTCTGTGTTGCCTCTGGCAGCTCCTACCTGACCCTGGCTGGGATTGCAGCCAGTGTGGTCATGTCCCCTCCCACTGCTGTATTCCAAGTTTCCCCAAGTCCACAACAGCCTCAATTACCCTTCTCCGGCCCCTCCGCCTCTTCTCAGGCATAGAGAAGAGGTTGCACGAATGCTTATCAGGTTCAGTTGGCTGCCGAGACAGGCTGCTTGAATGAGGGCCCATGAGCAATGTAGGCCCAGTGCCTGGCACGTAGCAGGGGCTCACCAAATCCCTTCCCTGCCTCCTTGGCTCAGAGGCAGGGGACCAGAGTCAGTGGTAGGCAGGTGCTGCCGGAGAGGGAATCGTGAGGGTGGTGAGTGGTGAGCGTCCTGGAGGTCAGAGTCGTGCAGCCTGGTCCCAGCTCACCAGGAACGCAGCACGTGCTTTTGGGCATGAGCCTCTCTTGGTCCTGGTCTTCCCCTGTAAAGTGGGACCAAGTGCTTCCCTGACAGTAGCCACTGGGGTGACACAGAGGCTTCTGCTCATTCATCCTAACCCTGCTCATCTCCTTGATGTGCCATCTCATGCCGCCTGCCCCATAGGGGACAGGAGAGGCTTCACAGTGTCAGGCCGTGGGTATAGTGTTTTACACGCTTTGCCATTCACATCTCCGCTAGATAAGCAGGCTCAGACTCAGGCATTTGCCGGGCATCACACATATATGGTCATGAGAAATGAGATGGAAGTGTCAACTCCAAAGCCCAAGCTTTCAGCTACCATGTTGTGAAGCCTCTGAGCCCCTGGCAGGACCAGGGAGCCTTCCCCTGGATTTCCCTGAGGCTTTTATTAATTTCCCTCTACTCAACTCAGTGCATAGAACCAGAGATACAGGGATAAGCCAGTCTGGTCCTGCCCTTAGGACCAAGGGGGGATTTGGGAATATGGGCTCCCCCTCCATGACACGTTGCTGTCAGGCTTGCTGGGGAGGCAGGCAGGCCACAGGCAGCTCAGGGAGGGCTAGACGCTGGGTCCCCGTGGCGGCTGGCATGTGGCTGGCTTGGCCAAAAGGGAAGAGGGAGGGTGGAGAGATTCTTCAACTAGAGTCACTCCATGGTGAGGCTTGGGGTCCCTGGGAGGTTAGGAGATGGTGACTGGGGGGGAGACAGGAGCACCTTAAGGGCATTTCCCAGATGACACAACAAAGGCACTCACCAGGTCCTGCTGGTCATGCCCCGTGAAAATCCTTGGCATGGCTTCAAGGCCTTTTGGCCTTCCTTCCACCAGATTCACCCTCTAATTGTACTCAGCCTGTTGCAGAGCTCTACGAGCACATCTTCCTGCCTTTGCACATACTGTTCCCCTTGCCTAGGATGCTCTTCCCTTCCTTCTTCACTCACCAGATGCCTATTCATTGTTTAAGTCTTAGATCAGGTGCCCTGCTCTGAGATGCCTTCCCCGAATACTCACCTCAACCCCAGGTTGGTAATGCTTCCCTTTGGGGCTTGGTGGTTCTACTACCCTGCATCTGAACATGTTCACTTGTCATTTCTCCGTAAGAAACATGGGCTCCATGCAGGCAGGAGCTGGGCCTACTTTCCCTGTATCTCTGGCCCCTGGTCCAAGGCCTGAGCTCAGTGGATTGTTGATCAGTGAATACATGCATACATGAGTGCATGCAGGAAACGAAGGATGGATGGGTTAGTGGGTAGATGATGGATGAATGATAGACGACAGATGTGTGAGTAGGTGATGGATAGATATGTGTTGGACAAATGATAGATGTTGGATGGGTGACATATGGGTGGATAGATGGATAGGCGGGTGATGAATGGAACAGATGATGGGTGTTGGCTAGATGTTGCTTAGATGATGGATGGGGTGATGAGCAGATGGATAAATGTTGGGTGGAATATGGACGGATGGACATTGCCTAGGTGGGTAAATGTAGACTATGGATGATGGATGATGAATGAGTGTTAGAAGGATGGGTAGATGGATGAAAGGATGTTGGATGGATTGAGAGAGGATACATGGGTATAGGATGGATAGATAGATGAATAAATAGACAGTGGATGTATAAACGGGATACTGATCTTGGATGGATGAATGGGTAGGGTGGATGCAGAATGGAGGTTGGACACATGGATCTATTGATGTTGGATGGATGATGAATGGTTAGATAGAAGGTGGACAGATGGATGGAAAGTAGGGAACAGCCTGGGCTAAGCTCTGTTCTTTCTTATCTCCAGTTCCAATCGGAGGAGCCTGAGGAGTTGGAAACAAGCAGAGGCCAAGACCCACTGACCGACCAGAAGCAGGCAGACTCGGTAGTTGGGTCATGGGTGTGGGTATATGGGGGGGAAGAGAAGGGCAGTCCAGCTGGAGGTGGGCTGAGGTCTTCAGGTGAGCTCTGGGGGCATCCAGACCAAGGTCAGCTCTGCCGTGGGCTCATCTGCCTGCATAGTGGGCCACAGAAGGGCTGTGGAGGGGCTGGGCAGCAGAATACCTGGCTTGGGGACATGGGTAGGTAGATGATGCTGGGGTCAGAAGCCAGGACGTCATGCAAAGGTCGCTGCCCTTCCGGCAGTTTGGTTCCAGTGGTCTCTAAAGCCAAAGTCCTGGTTCTGGAAGGCTGGCCAGGCTAGGAGGAAGGGTACAGCTTTCAGGAGCTGAGCCAGAGAAGCGTTGAGGAGGGCCAGGAGGTGCTCTACAGTCAGCCAGTCCCAGAGGGCCTCCAGAGCCCCGGGCCGGAGAGATGTGTGCAGAGGGTGGGAGCCCTGAGGCGGCTGCGAGGCCCTGTCGCAGCTGGAGCGCATCGCTCTGGCCCAGCCCTCCCCTCGGCCTGCCACACAGACTGTTCTCATCGCCCTCAGCCTCCAGAGAGGGGAGGTCAGAGCAGAGAGCTGGGGCGGCGGGAGCAGCGAGGACACTTGCCGTGTGGGGCTGTGCTGTCCTCCTCCTGGGGCGTCCTGCTGTTCCCTCTCCCATGCTGCCTCCTGAGAAGCAGCTGTGACCGGGGAGTCTGTCTGGCAGTGTGGAGCCCCTGAGTCTGGCCCTGTCACTAGTCTGAGCTGGGGGAATTCTGCCCAGGCCCCACTGTGCAGACAAGGAAGCGAGTGGCAGGAGAGTCACCCCAGGTCACACAGTCGATGGCTGGGCTCGGGACCCCACCTGATGGTTTCTCTGGGCCCCCAGAGCTGCTTCCGGCTCTGCCCCAGTTCTCTGCATGGCCTTGCACAGATGCAGCAAGGTTTCTAACTGCTTGGTGGGCCAGTCTTCCCATCTGTGAAATGGGATGGGATAGCCAGGTCTCTCAGGGCCTCTGGAAGCTCTGTTCTTCCTCTTTCTGGGTCATTTCTTCATACTTCCTGGAGTCAGAGTTCTGTGGACAAAGAGGAAATAACAACACAGGGGTGCCCCCCCCCCAGTCTCTGAAAAATGGGCCTGTCCCAGCAACACGGACCTCTCAATCTACCTCTGGGCACCCTGGACTAGACAGAATTGATAACTGTCTCATTCATTCATTCATTCATTCACATACATTTAGTGAGTACCTTCTGAATGCCTGGGTGTGGGCCAGAAGTGACTGGAGTGCCAGCATGGAGCTCTTGGTCTAGTGCTCGTGCTAGGGAATGTGGTGGCAGGGTGGGGGCACCTCCTGGACCTGTGCTTTGATGCTTCATGTTCAACCTCCAGAGAATCTCTTGATTCCAGAGAGTTGGGACACCTGGGCTCTGTCCTAACTCTGCCAGCAACCTGCTGTGTGACTCTGGGTAGATGTCTCTGCTTTGCTGGGGCCCATTTGCCCAACAAGAATGACTCCCGTGGGGGCACGCCTGGAGGCCTTACTGGGGGTGGCTGTAGAAACCTGTGACTCATTCCCTTCAGAAAGGTGGGGAAAGTAGATGGGGGACTGGGCTTGGGGGCACTTGAGTGACCTCTTGACTCCAGAGGGTTGTTGTCATGGGGAAGACAGGACAAATGTCTACATCTTTAGATATTTCAAAAGAAACTGCAGATATGTAGTTCTAGGATAAACCTCTAATTAGTTAACACTGGAACCTAATGCAAACAGTCTCAAAGCCCTATGTGGGCTCAGCACGCATCTGTTGGTCTGCACCCACCTCCTGCTGGCCACTGGCGGTGTGATTTTAGGGCCGTGAAATGCACGTCCCTGAGGGTACTAATCACCGGGAGCCCTGTCAGCCAAACACCATGTAGAGTGAACAAGTTAACAAACTCTTTTCTCAGCAGCTCTGGGAGGGGAGAAAGATGGGAGAAAAGACCCCTGGACATTTGAGGGGGTCATGGCAGAATGGGCAAGGGAGGCTGTAGTCAGGGAACTGCCACCCCACCAAAGGGACTTGGGGCCAACACTGGACCCTGTTTGACAGGTAGACAAGAGGCCAGCAGCAGGCAAGGCTGGGAGCCCGCTCAAGGGCCGACTGGTGACCTCATGGCGGATGCCCGGGGACCGGCCCACGCTGTTCAATCCGTTCCTGCTGTCCCTGGGGGTCCTCAGGTGGCAAAGGGTAGGCTGGCTCCAGAAGGTTTGGGGGGCTAAGGGTGAGGGGAGGGAGGAGGCTGATTTTTAGTCAAAGAAGAGAGAGTGGGGGTCAAGGGACAGGGCTTGGGCCCCCACAGGAAAGGAGAGATGGAAGCAGAGCCTGAAGTGCCCCGTGGTTTGTGCGAGTGAGCAGGGCTTCCACCTCCAGGCTGGCCGGGGCTCTTTTCAGCATTCAGGGCGTGTGGTGACTGAATACTCTGCACAGCTAAAAGCTCCCCTCAGCACTGGGCCACGGGGAGCCAAAGGGAGGGCCTGCGAGGGGCTCTGGGATTGCAAAGTGTGTCTCAGACCTGGGTCTGAGCCACTTTCACAAACATCTGGCATTACGTAACTCATCCCCTGCCTGGAGAGGGCTGTAAACACTCAAGCCTCTTGTTCAGGGCTTCCTCCAGGGCAGGGAGGGGAGGCAGCTGTGACTCGCCCTCTCCTGCCCCTTCATGGTGGGGGAGAAGGAGCTGGCCATCTCTAGGGGCACCTGGCTGGCTCATGAGCTCTCTTCTCTGGGTAACAGGCTGACTCTTGTACTCTCATTGGCTATGGGTCTGGCACTGGGCTGGGCACATTAGGGACAGTATGCTTATTTTACAGATGCCAAGGGACTAAGGCTCAGGGAGGTGAGGTGACTTGCTGGAGATCACACAGCTAGGGTTTAGAGCAGCCAGCCTCTGCTGATTTTCCTCATTCCTAGATGACAGAACAGTTGCAGCCATTAACTACATTTGTCTAATGGGGAAAAATCTGTGGGAACTCTCGGGGCTGCAGCGAAGGCTTGGGGATCAGGATGCAGAGGTGTGATTGGTGGGGATGGGGAGGGGCCATCCAAACACTAACTGTCCCATCCACTTCATCATTTCCTCTCCACTGCTCCTGGGGTGTTAAGGGACAAGGGTGATCAGACAAACACGGTATCTGGGCAGCGTGGTATCTTCAAGCCATGGGCAGGAATTACTTTATCAGACTAAAGGTCACCAACATGCGGCAGTTCTGGCAGGAGGGGGCAGGTAAGTCCCTGGCAGAGAAACGGGGAGAGAATGAGGACAAGGGTTCTTGGATAATGATGACATGATGATAACCAGCATTTCTTGTGCACCTATTATGTGCTCAGCTCCATGTTTAGTGCATGACCTGCCTGATTGCATTTAATCCTCACCACCAGGCAGACCAGGTTGTGTTCATACTGTCCATTTTACAGATGAGGAAATGAAGCTCAGGGAAGAAAAATCACTTGTTCTAGATCACTTAAGGGGCAGAGCTGAGATTCAATCCCTGCTCTGGCTGACCTCAGAACCCCTCCACCTCTGTGCATCTTGATCTCCCTGAGCTCACCTTGCAGCCCCGAGTCTCCATAGATTTTTCCCTATTAGACAGATGTGGCAACTGAGGCTGGGTGAGTTTGCAGCCATTCTCCCATCTGGGAATTAAGAAAATCAGGAGCTGAGGGATGGAACTTCCAGCAGAGCCTCCCAGACAGTTACTTAGAGCAGCTTCAAACATCTCTAGGGCTGGAGAGTGAAATTAGTCCAAGGTCAAGAGCCAGGAAGCCTGGCTTGACTTCTGTTTCTATCCCTAACTTGTGTGGCTTTGGGCTCTTGTTTCCCTTCTCTGAGCCTCACTTTGTTATCCTCATCAGAGTAATGGTCTGAGACTGGATAACCCCAACATTTGGTGGCTCTGTTTAATAATGCACTCTGGGGTCCCTGAGCCTATACCATCTCTGTCCTACCAGGGCTAGTTGTGGTGAGGGAGTAATTCCTTCATTTGTGCATTCATTCACATGACCAATGTTTCCTGAGGGCTTCCTGTGGGCTGAGACCTTGGGCTGGCCACTGAGATACAGACACAAACACTGCACTGCATCCCTGCCCACAGGGAGCTCATGGTCTGTGAAGACCCTGACCTGTAACTGTTTAGAACACAGCGTGGTCATCACTTTAGTGGGAAATGTACAGATGCAGGGAGCACTGGGTAAGGAAATCCTAACTCTGTGCTGGGTGTGCTTTGGCTTCCTTGGATAAGACTTGAAGGGTGAGGAGGAATTTTCCAGACAAACAAACATTTGGAGGGAGGGGAGGGAGAGAGAAAATGTGTGTGTATTGGGGCACAGAGGACAGGAAGGGAAGTGTTCCAGGCACAGCAGAGAACAACATGTGCAGTCCCATGTAGGGTACAAAGGACCTGGCTTACTCTGGGAATTCCCAGTAGGCCAGTGTTGTGTATCCCCAGCGTGTAAAAGGTGTGTGCATGATGGCAGAGGACAGAAGGCAGGGGCCAGACTGTGGTGGATGCTGACTGCCTGGGACATCAGTGGAGAGCTGATCTGTTAGCACTGGGGAGGCACTGAAGAACTTTGTGCAGAGCAGTGATCTGATCACTGGGTGAATTGAGGGTACTAGAAGGGAAGTCTCAGAGGCCAGGAAACCAGCAAGGAGACTGGTGCTGTCAGGTACCAGGCCACTGGGTCAGGGCATTGGTGGTAGGTGAGGTCTTCTGTTGGATCACATACTCTCCTAAGGGCTGAATCCTGAGTGAGGTGCAGGGGCAGATGGGAAAACAGCACAGGGCTGCCAGAAGGCTAGTGTCTGGAGGAAGATGGGCTTACCCTTGGCTTCATTCCTCAGGGTGGAGGCTTTACTCTCCAGTGGGAAATGATGGAAAAGAATTCCAGCTCCCTGGGCTTCCATTTGTTTATCTGTGAAATGGGCATAGTAATCAAAACTATGACAGCTATAATTTTCGAACCCCAAACTAAGCAGAATAACTGAAATGGCAATATTCCAAGCTCCCCTGCTCCCCAACCTAAGGGTAGCTAACTAGGGATGAAGGGGTTGTTCTAGGTGCTTTACTTAACACTTAACCCTTACAGCAATCTCATGAGATAATAGCATTATCCCATTTTAAAGAGAGTGAAGGTTCGGCACAGAGAGGTTAAGTACCTTGCTTAAGGTAACACACAGTTTGAATCACAATGCCACACAAGCTGCCACAGGCACTTAACAACAAATCCCACCAATGTCCCTTCTCTGCTGCAGGGCTCAGATGAGCTCCTGCAGGCAAAAGGCTTCTTACAAACTGCCAAGTGCTCTGGGAAGGTGAGAAACGGGTATGCGCCCAAGCCAAAGAATCCAAAATGAGTTTCTTAAGCCGGAGACCTGCTTATGTGGAGGGGGCATTTGGCGAATGCCCTACCATCCAGAACGGACTTTGTGTTTAGATTGATTACATACTAGGACTCCGTGTCTTCCTACTGTGTGACCTTGGGCAAGTCGGCTCACCTCTCTGAGCCTCCGTTTCCTCAGTAAAATGGAGACAAGGGCACCTCCTTGTCAGGTCCGTGCTGAGAACGAAAGTCAGTTCCACAGGTAACAAGCGGGGCCTCTGAAGGTGGAACTAATTGAGTTGTTAGTGCTGGGTGCTTTGCCCCAGTCTCCATCCAGCCGAGGCGCCGCGCCCTAGCGTGCCCACTGCTCCGTCCGAAGGCTAGTGGCCAGGGCAGGCAGGCGGAGCTGGGCGACGAGGGTGCCGCACCCGGCTGCCCCTACCTCGCACTCCCGCGCGGCGGCCCGACCGAGTCACCTGCGCGCTGGGTCCTTCCTTCCTCCCAGCGCCCAGCGGCCGGAGCCCGGCCCTCTCCTCCCTCCGCCCCTATCCGCCGCGCCCGACCGCCCCAGAGCGCCCGTCCCGTCGCCGCAGGCCCCGCCCCCGGCCCGGCCCGCGCTCCCATTGGCCCGCCCGCAGCCCCCGCCGCTGTTTGGCCCTCATTCCCCGCCGCCCATTGGCCCGCCCGGGTCCTCCCAGGAAGTTTGAAAAAAAAAAAAAAAGTTTTATGGGCGGATGGAAGGGGCCGGGGCAGCGCCGGGAAAGGGAAGGGCCGGAGGAGCGGCTGCGGGCGGCCGAGAGGGGCGGCGGCGGCGGCGGGATTCCCGCTCCGCGGAGCCCGGCCCGAGAGCCCTTTCCACCCTCCTGCCCGCTGCTCCCGCCTCCCCCGGGCGCCGCCATGACGGTGAGTGTCCCCCCGCCAGCCCCTCAGCCCGCGGACCGGGATGGGAGTGACCGTCCAAGCCAGAGCCTGGGCTGCCCCCCTCCTCACTTCCAGGAGGCGAGAGGCGGTCTCGGCCGGGAGACGGGGCAACCCCGGCGGCACTAGCCAGCCGTCCTGCTTCACCTGCCCCCAGCCTCTTCCCTGCCTTTCTGGGCCAGGAGCCCCGGCGACCTCGAGGAAATGGGAATTCCCGGGCCCGGCCCGGCCCCACCCCCACCCCCACCCCTCTTCACTCGCGGGGCCGTCACGGACAGCTTCGGGATGGCCCTTTCCCACCTGCCCTGCGGCCTCCTTGGCGAAGAGCTGACCTAATTTCCCCAAGCTGCCAGACCCGTACGGGGGCTGCTAGGGCCTCCGGACCCGGGGAGGAGTGGAGACGGGCCCGGCCTGGTCTGGGGTTTCGCCCTGGGCTGGAGAGAGGCACTCTCTGGCTCGGATGGATCGCGCGCCTCTGTGCTGGGAAGGCTGCCCACAGTGTGGGCGCAGGCCGGAGTTTGGGTGGGTGAGAGGGGTCACCCTCTCCTATCCCGAGATTTCTGAAGCGGCAGGATATAATGTTCTGGGCCCGCCGCTTCGCAGCGCTGGAGCCTTGGGTGGAGCAAGCCCGCGAGTGAGGGTGGGGGACACGACGGCATGGATATATTTTTATCTGGCGGATGAACCCAACCCAGGTTATGCCCGTACCTGTGCCTTCATTATCATAGTGGCCCTCCTCGCTGGGCTCACCGTTTTCCCCACTTCACAGTCTGATAAACTGAGGCATGGGGAGGTGCTGTTGGTGAGTTGCCCGAGGTGACCCTGAGTGTAAGGGAAGGAGTGGCCGGGTTCCGGCTCAGTCTTGGCCCCTTGACCATGGAATTCTGGAAGGGATGGGCAAGGCTGCTTTTGGTTTCTGGCTAGTGCCTTAGGGAGGCTTTGGCAGCCTGAGGGGCGAGGGGATAGGGCTGAGTGGAGTGTGTAGATGTCTATCAGCGTCCCCTTTCCTCAAGTGACAGGAGACCCTGTCTAGGAATGAGCTGGGTTGCCTGGGGGTTGGCTCAAAGGGTCCCTGCCCCTCTGAGGGTGATGACCTGGCTACCGCCTGGACTTCCTCGGCCTCCGCACATCCTGCCACCTCCCTGCTGGCCCTTCCTGTTGTCAGCAGCCTCCCCTTCCCCGTCAGGGAGCAGAGAGGGACGTGGGGGGAGGAGCTGAGTCAGTGTCCTGGCCACCCCGCCCTGGGTTCTTACACTGGGGGAGGGGGTTACATTGCCCACTGGGTGCCTGCCAGGCCCTGAACTGACTGCTTTCATGTCATCAGAGTTGATCTTGAAGGCTGATGGTAACTTCCCATCCCATAGATGAGAATACTGCAGTGTAGAGAGGTGGAGTAACGTGCTCCAGGTGGCACAGCTGGGCCCTGGCTGAGCCAGAACTTGTATCCACGTCTGTCCTGGTTATCTGGGGCAAGATAAGAAATGTACACAGTTGCCTCCTGGGGAAGCACATGGCTGAGCAAGGGTAAGGCTGCTAGAAGCAGTACATGAGGCACTGGGACAAGGGACAGCAAGCCCCTCTCGGTGGGAGGGGGCTTCCCAAGGGAAATGCAGTCTCTGATTGTAGGACTTTGTCAGGTCGAGATGGACTAGGGGTAGGGAGCAGTGTGGACAAAGACTGGTAGTCATGTTTGAGGAATGACAAGAACATATAAAACGGACCTGGGAAGGAGGAGCTTAAAGGCAAAGAAAAGCAACTTGGGCTTTGGTCAGGGGCACTGGGGAGCCATGAAAGGTCTTGGAGCAGAGAGAATGCTCAGGATCACCATGGACAATGTTTCCTGGATTTATCCTGGCCACCTTCAGACCTGAACCTGCTCTGGCTTGTGGCCCTCCCATACCTTTAGATCTGTTCTCTCTCCTGGCCCCATCTCCCTGAGCTCAGGGGTCTGTACGAGCAGATGGCAAAGGTGCCGTGAGTGGGTAAATGCTTAGAGGCTTTAGGAAGCGGGCCTGGAGTCAGGATCTCCTTTTGCCATAGCCTGGTGCAGCCTTGACCCTGGAGCTTCATTTCCCCGCCACTGCCTGGCATCAGATTATGTACCTATTCACTTGTTTATTGTCTGTTGCTCTCCTGAGTTCCACCAGGGCAGGGGCTATATGTCTCGTTCACAGCTCATTTGCTGGCCTAGAACAGTCCCTGGTGCTTAAAAAAAGAAATTTCTACAAACATTCCCTGAGCCCCTGGGTCCTGGAGGGTGAACTACAGTTGTCCTGACGGTGAGTTGCTTCTAGTCTAGCCTGTGAGGTCTAAGTAAATGTCTTCAAGATCATCACAGATGGAATAGAGGCCATGCGAGGGCACCTGGCATGCTGTGTGGTATGTGCTGGGAAAGGGGCCTCAGAAATGGCAGTTACTCTGGGTCTTAAGGTATGACCAGGGGTTTGCCTGGTCAGCACTGAGGAAGAAGCCTGGTACACAAGGTGAGGACATAGGCACGTGTGGTGGGCTTGGAATCCTGATGTGTTGAGGATCAGAGAGGATATGTGGTAATAAAAAAAGGGGCCCCTAAGCAAGGGGGAGGCCAGGCTGGAACTGAGGCTCTTGTGCCATCCCAAGGCAGTCGGACCTTGTCTTAAAGCCTCCTGGAGGGGATGTAGACTCATGACCAGGCCTTTTTGAGTGGAGCCCCGTGCCAGAGTGTGCTCGGAGGAGGCTGTGGCTGTGGGCCCTCCGGGTAGGAGGGCAGGCTCTGAGAGAAGAGGAGAAAGTGAGCATTCTGCAGGTGGGGGAAGGGTGGCGGGGCCTGAGGAGCCCAGCGTGAGGTGCAGAGTGAGAGAGAACTTACCAGACCCTTTGACCCTGATGGGAGGTTCGCAGGCGACCTGCCACTGGGTTTAAAAACTCACATTGGCAGGCTCCTCTCCCCAAGGTCACTGTGCTGAGTGGTACCTGACATGGCATGCAGCGTATGGTGTGTTTGTCCGGGCTTCCAGAGAGGGTCTGGGCTTCTCCATATGGCACATTCAGGCTTCTTGCGAAGTCTGGGGGAGGATGGGATCCCCCCACCCGATCCTGCCAATAATTTGTCACATTAGGCAGCTGGGGCTCAGTCTGGGGATATGACTTAGGAAGGTCATAATGACCCTACTTCCCCAGCAGCCCTTGGGGTCCCAGCCTATCATTCTGGCTGGGGAGCTCTTGCTCAGCCTCTGGAAGCCTAGAGGCTGTTCTCCTAGGCCTGGCCCAGTCTGATTGGCTGGGTCATCTGCCTGTGGGCAGGGCATTTTTGTCCTTCCCAGGGGCTTTCCCTTGGATCAGCATAGCGGTGCTAGTCCATGGCCATCCCAGAGAACCTGGCTTCTGGGGGCTGAGGATTGCCCCAGAAGGACAGGAATTTAGGCCGGGGAGATAGAGGAGGGTGATATTTATTCAGCAGGTTTCCCTGGGGCCACGGGAGGTCCCATTCTGAATGCAGGTAGGTCCAGGTGACTTGATAGCCCTGAGTATGCCGGCTAGTCTTCAGCCTTTGCTTGGGGCCACTCTGGGCAGCCTCTGCTACATGTGGGGAACAGGGCAGGGAAGAATGCAGATAGTGCAAACACAGCCCCAGGGTTTTCCAGATCTGAGCAGAGCCTGTGTCCCTTAAACAGGTATGTAGGGAGGAGCTGCAACACAGTGGTTGGGCTGCCAGCCTGCTGAGATCCAGGGGTCCTCGTCCCACAGCCTTGACTGTGGACGGCTCTGGATGTCCAGGCTGCTGGCCCAAGCCCCTCTCGGGCCACTTCCTACACCTGGGAGGAAGGTGGGTGGGTGGGTGGAGTGGCCAGGTCAGGTGGCTCCAGTTTCCAGCTGCTGTTGTTGCCGCCCATCCCACTGAGCATGCCACCGGTTCCCTCCACGCAACCAGACACCTTAGCCTGGTGAGGCTGTGATGCAGGTGCTGATAGGTGGGCCCAGAGCCATGGCAACAGGTGGCCTCCTCCTCCTCTCTGCCTGCCAGCCTGGCCTGCCCTGCTCTCATCCCTGCCAGTGGGCAGAAGCTGAAACTGTGCAGAGGGACAGGGACTTAGATGAGAGAGAAGTCTCCCTAGCAGGCAGAGAGGGTCTGGTGGCTGGAGCCCACTAAATGGCCATGGCCAGAGAAAATGCCTGGATGAGAAGCTGCGTCATCTAGGCCCAGGTGGGGGCACCTCGCTCACAGGCCCCTGTGGAATATGCTGCGTCTGGGAGCCTGTGGAGCCCAGGGCTGGGCCTCCGTGGGCAGCACCCGGAAGGTAGGGCTTACCCTGGTTGAGGGGCCCTCTTTTTGGCCCTTCCAGAGATCTGGGAGGGATGAAAGGATCTCCGAGTCCAGCCTGAGCCTGGCCCCATCTTGCAGGGGCCACGGGAGATGAGGGAAGGACAGGGCTAGTTGGACCAGAGGAGGGCCAGTGAGCTGAGGATAGGCAGGAGCATTAAGGCATCTTCCTGGTGAGCACCTGGGCCTTGTCAGTGAGAGGAACTGGACGTTATGCTCGACCCTGCTGGTCCGGGCTGTTTTCTGAGCTCTCTGGTGTCTCTTACAGGCAGAGTTCTCCTGGCCCCTCTCTTCCACTCTTGGGTGAGGAAGAAGGCTGGTGGGAGGGGACTGGTCATCTGTGTGGATGTACCAGTCACCTGGCACACCGGCTAGGCTCTCACATATTGCTGGAGAAATATCTGAGGGAAAGGGGCCACGTCTGCCTCAGTGGCTGGGGGGGCCTGCCTGGATTTGGGGGGTTAACTGGGCCCTCAATTCTCTCTCCTGGCTTCCCAGGATCTCAGTCCTACATACCTGGGGACAGGAAGGGTGCAGCAGCCCCTCTTACCAAGTCCCAGTTCTCCACTGGGCCTGACTCATCTGCCTCCTCATTTCCCCATAGCCGGATCTGCTCAACTTCAAGAAGGGATGGATGTCGATCTTGGACGAGCCTGGAGAGGTAGGAGGGCTGCAGCGAGGTGGGGAGGAGGGAGGCCGTGCTGCTTCAGTGCCTTCTCTGGTCCCTGGGGCAGCCCGGGAGGCGGAGCTGCTTCCCAGGCTTCCAGAAGCCCTGGCCTCTGGATGGAGGGGTCCAGGGTAGGGGCCAGAATGGCAACCCTGAGGGCAGGGCATTTTTCATTCAGTCGGAAAGAGGGCCTTGGCTGTGGTAGGTGGGCAGAGGCTGCTAGTCGCCTCTCAGCTTCCTGGAACAGTTGACAGTAGGTAAAAGTCACCAGGGATGGAGGCCTCCTGGCACTTCATGCCCTGCACCCCTTGGCCCTCCGACCTCTTGATGACCCTTGTTGGGTATCCAAGAGTCTGGGGTGGAAGTGTTCTCATAGAGATCATCTGGCCTGAGACACATGCAGATTCCAGAAGACAGCAGTGCAGCAGCCTTCCTGTTGTGGGCGGGGCTCTGAATCTCACCAGCCTGGTGCTCCACTGGCCAAGTCACAGCTTCCTCTGGCCTCGGCCATGTCTGTGAAATGGACATAATATATAATGACGATCTCTCCAGGGTGGATAACAGAGTCAGAGAGGTTGAGCATCTAAAGGGTCCCACACAGCCCCGGTGCCTGATAGGGCCTCAGCTAATAACCTTCCCTTTCTCCAGTATATTCATACTTAGAACCAGAAGGACCAGTGGCCTTTCACTGGCTCTGCCCTTTCAGCTGCCAGGCTAGAGCCTGTGAGCTGGAGTTGGCTTCCTGCCCACCCAGCCTGGGAGGGGACGGCTCCCTGCCCCTGTCCTGCATGCGCCTGTGGCTTGGGTCTGCATGCAGCCTGCATGCCAGGGTGGGCTTGGAGCCAAAGGGAATTTCATTGTGTTCCCTACCCACATGTTTTACTCCCTCTAGTCGACAGCCTTCTGTTCCTGTGCCTGCTCTCTGGGCGTCTGGTGGCTGGGCTCCAGGCTCACACAAGGCCTGGCACCCTGCCAGTGACCCTTCCTGGCCTCCCCACTCAGGGTCTCCAGAGGGCAGAGATTAGTTGCCCCGCCCAGAACTGGCCGTTACTCATCCTCTTCCACAGGGTTTTGGAATGTCCGACTTAGACCGGCTCTGGCAGTTCAGCCAGTCCAACCCCTTGTTGCACAGACAGGAGACAAGCCCACAAAGGCACTGGGCTTTTCTAGGCCTAGAATTCAGGAAGCCTGAGGCCCTTGGAACTCCACCGGGCTTCCATCTCAGGTATCAGTCATAGACTAGGCCTGGAAGGGCTAAAGAGATCTTCCAGCATAGAACGCCTGCCCCATTTTCCAGAGGAACAGGTGAGGTCCCAAGCTAGCTTGGGCCACCGTTTGAACAGTCCCCAGCAGCCTACGGCCTGACCCTATGCCAAGTGCCACGAGAGGCATACAGGAAGAGTGGGATGCTTCTCACCTCACAAGAAGGCCCAGGGACTTCTTATAAGCCTGCTTTACAAGTCGGAAGAATGCAGCTCAGAGAGGTCAAGACACTTCACTAAAGATAGTCTGCAAGGGATAAAATAGTTGTAACTAGGTCTCTTGGATGTTAAAGCCATGTTTCTTAGGAGAGGCAGGGTGGAAAGAAGTAGAAAGTGTCATCCTGGCACATCCTTGAAAATGTACCATCTTCATGAGGAAAGGAAACTAAGTCCTGGAAATAACAAACAGTGTGGCTCGGGCTTGGTGATGTGGGGGAACCCTAGGAGAGCTGAGGACTGGGTGACATGTGCTGACCCAGGCAGTGGGTAATCCTCGACTGGCATTCCAGTGAATGGCCAGAATCCCAGAGGTGGGCTGAGCTTGGCACATTTACTGTCAGACTATTCTGGTGGCCTCACCCCTTTCCCATGTGTCCTGCCAGCCTGACTCAGAAAGCTGCCCAAATTGTACACGTACGGATTAGACACCCTCACAAAGCGAGCATACACCTAACTAGCACCCAGATCAAGAAACAGAATACAACCAGTGCTGACATCTCCTTGTGTCACCTTCCAGTCCTCCTTGCTGGGAGACCTGTGGCCACCACGGTGATCCAGAGGGGCATATGGAAAAGGACTTGCAGAATTCGGGTCTCTGACTTGCTAGGCAAATGAACTAAACACTGGTCATGACCCTTTCCTGGGCTGCACTGTGGGGACTTGCATACAGAAGCATTGGCAGACATGGTGGAAAGGATCAGGAGGGTATGGGAGTATCAACAAGCCAGAGAAGGGCTTCCAGAAGGAAAGGGAGAGGTTGTAGTCACTGAGGAGAGGCTGCCCACTTCACAGATGCTGTGCCTGAGGCCCCTAGAAGAAATGGAGAGGCCAGGCTTCACATCCAGATTTTCTGATTCTGTGCTGCCTCCTGCCCCACACTTGTGCACCCCCCGACTCCCTGCCCAACAGGATGGATAGGGTGCCAGGGCCCTACTGTGAGCAGAATGGTTTGCCTGGCAGCGCCCCAGACACCTGCAGAAAGGTGAACACACATTCCACCAATCCTGCAGCCCCCTCCCCTGGCTCATGGCCCCCTCTCCTTCACAGTGGAAGAAGCATTGGTTTGTGCTGACCGATTCAAGTCTCAAGTACTACAGGGACTCCACTGCTGAGGAGGTAAGGCAGTGAGGTGGGAGGGCTCCCTCTGCCATCAGGGGCTGGGAGCATCTGGGTGGGGTCAGCCCATGTGGACGGTCATGGGCCTTCCTGCTGCAGGCAGATGAGCTGGATGGTGAGATCGACCTGCGGTCCTGCACCGATGTCACCGAGTATGCAGTGCAGCGCAACTATGGCTTCCAGATCCATGTGAGGCTGCATGCAGTGGCGGGTGGCATGACAGGAGGGTCCCCCAGAGAAGCTGTTGGTGTGGAGCATCATCAGAGTCTGGCTCCCATCACTCATTTACTCAGAGATCCTGTCCTTAGAGCCCGTCGGAAGCTCTGGGGAGACCCTGGGTATCATTGGCGGGGTGGTTCAAATGTTAGGGAGATTTGGAGCCAGCGGGGGTCTTCTAAGGCTAGTGGAAGGGACCTTCTGTTCACCTCCAGGCTCAAGACCTTTGGACCTTTGCTCCCCAGAGGGAAGGGCCACCCTCCCAGGGGTCCCTTCAGATCCCCGAAGTGGGGAGGGAGCAGTGGGGCTGGCCATGTGGGAACCTACCTGTGGGGTGGACTTGCAGACCAAGGATGCTGTCTACACCTTGTCGGCCATGACCTCGGGCATCCGGCGGAACTGGATTGAGGCTCTGAGGAAAACTGTGCGTCCAACATCTGCCCCAGACGTCACCAAGTACGTTCCGTGCTGTACCAGGGTGTTGGGGGAGGCACTTACTTATGCATCTCTGAGTGGGGCTCTGGAATGCCTCTGAGGGTCTGTGGCTTTACCTTCTGGGCTTCAGTTTGTCAATAAGACTGGGAGGGCAATGAACATTTTTGGTAGTCACCCAGAAATACACTGAGGATTTGAGGTTTGACTGCCATCCCTTCATGTTCCTCTGCATCCTGAAAGGGTGGGGAGGGGCCCTGACTCTTTAGAGAAGGAGCCACGGAGTCAAAGGCCCTTGCCAGGTGGCTCACTGTCTCTGTGTCACGGGGCCTCTGTCTAAGCCTGTGTCAGGGAGAGGGTGTGTTTCGGTGGTCTGGGTGGGGGGTGCACTCCCTCTGGAGGTTGCCACAGGTGGAGAGGCTGGAGGACTGAGTCACCTGGAGGCGGAGCCCCACACAGTATAAATCCCAGACGCCCATGGCGGGGCTGGGAGTAGCAGCTGTACAATGGAGCATGGTGTCGAGGGAGGCAGAGTGCGACTCCCCCGGACATGGCCATACCTGGGCTGCTCAGCCTCAGGCTAGTGGTTTTCTTTCTTGAGTTTTAGGTCCTCATCTGTGATGCTGAGTGTCACATCTGCTTCATGAGGACGTGCACGGAGGGCCTTTGTAAACTCTGAAATGCGAGTAGCTGACTGTGATTTAGTATGTAGGCTTGGCTGCTATAACAAAGAAACCCCAGACACTGGCTGAAATGTGGGAGAGGTTTTTTTCTCCTGAACAGTCCAGAGGTGTGTGGTCAGACCTGGTGGGGGCCCTTGACTCACCTTTGCCTCTGGCTCAAAGAATTTCTTAGGTGCTCTCAGAACCCTAGCCAGGAGCCAAGCCAGAACACGCTCAGTCCTTTAAAGGGTGCCACCTCTCACATCCACTGGGCAAACTGTAGTCACGTGCCTGCACAGAACTGCGAGGGATGCTGGGAACTGTAGTTTTTGGCTGAGTGGCTATGCTATCATGGTAGAAGAGAACTGCCACAGTTGTTAAAAGTCTCCATAATTTGTGCTCTGTGCATCCAGAGGTCACTGCTCACCTCATCAGCCGTCACCTTGGGCATCTCCTCTATTCCACTGTGAGCCAGACCCTGTCTCACACCATACTTTTCTTTTATAACAAAGTTTTGGTTGTGACTTGCAAAGGGCTCCCTGGTTGCCGTAACACATTCACTCATCTAGTCTTCACATCCATCCTGTGACAGGCATTGGTGTTCCCATATGACAGCTGAGGTCACTGAAGCTCAGAGAGGAAAGCCAGCTTATCCTGGTCCCTCTGCTGCCAAGTGGTGGAGTTGGGATGGTTCCCCGGGTCTGTTAATGATGAAGCTCTAGTTCTAACCTCTAGGCTGGGCTGCTTCTTCCCCTGGGGTCTGTCCCCGGGCCCTGGCACACAGGTGGCACTCCAGAAGTACTTGTTGTGGGCAAGATCCTGCCTGATATGGCTCTGCTGGCACCCTAGGCTCTCGGACTGCAATAAGGAGAACACGCTGCACAGCTATGGCACCCAGAGGGGCTCCCTGAAGGCAGGGGAGCCTCGGGTGGGCTCTGAGATCATCAGCCGGGGCGGCCCACGGAAGGTGGATGGGCAGCGGCAGTCCCTGGACTACGTGGAGCTCTCCCCGCTGACGCAGGGCTCCCCGCAGCGGGCCCGCACCCCAGCCCGCACTCTTGACCGCCCGGCCAAGCAGGAGGAGCTGGAGCGGGACCTGGCCCAGCGCTCCGAGGAGCGACGGAAGTGGTTTGAGGCCACAGACGGCAGGGCCAAGGAGACACCCGCTGGCGAGGGGCCACGCCGGGGCTTGGGTGCCCCCCTGACTGAGGACCAGCAGAGCCGGCTCAGTGAGGAGATCGAGAAGAAGTGGCGGGAGCTGGAGAAGCTGCCCCTGCGGGAGAACAAGAGGGCACCTCTCACTGCCCTGCTCAACCAAAGCCGTGAGGCGCACCAGGGGTCCCCAAGTGACAGCCACGAGGCGCTGGAGAAGGAGGTAGATGTCACTGCTGGCCTCTGGGAACTCTGCACCCCCAACTCCCTGCCTGTCCCTGCAGTCACGCTCTGGCATTTATCTTGCATACCTAAAGTGATGGGGAACTCACCCAGATGGGCTGACTTATGAATTGACATCTCCTTGGTGGGTTTTGGTTTGGGTTGTTGGTTTTGTTTTGTTTTGTTTGCTTAGTTCTGTCCTCAGCAATCACAGAGAAGGGAAAGCCTGCTTACTGAGCATCCTGTGCATATCAAGCCTTGTCCTAGGCCCTCCATCTGCACTGGCTCATGCAATCCTCCCAGCAGTCTCGTGGTCCCACAGGGTAGACCTCTTCACTGTTCTTACTGCAATGTGAACCTGAGGCTCAAAGACTTTTCCCTGCCACATACATAATAATGTGGTAAATACCTGTGACCATGGTGTCCTACCCCAACCCTGTCTGGTCTTCTCTGGGACATGGCTCCCTGGGGTTGCCCCAGCCACCCAAGAAACAGCTAGGAAGTCCCCTTTGCCCGTATCTCCACAGCAGGGCTGCTTCCCCTTTTCCAGCCAAAGCTTATTGCCTCCACCAGCCCCCTTCCTGCTTCCAGGCCCCCACTGACCCTGCCTCCTCCCCTTACAGGTCCAGTCTCTTCGAGCCCAGCTGGAGGCATGGCGTCTGCAAGGCGAGGCTCCTCAGGGTGCACCCAGGGCCCAGGAGGACAGCCACATCCCCCCGGGATACATCTCACAGGTGAGGAGCTGTTTTGTAGGGGATGAGGGCAGGCTTCTCACTGCTGTGTTTTCAGAAAATAGCTATTATTCTGGGAGCTCTTCCCATATACTGGAACCCATGTGAGGCTTTTGCCATGCATCATCTAATGTCTCTAGCGGGTAGGCATGATCACTGTGCCCATTTTACAGACAAGGCCACTGAGCTATGAGAGGTTAAGTGACTTGCCCAAGGTCAACTGAGCTGCAGATGTCACAGGTAGAATTGGAGTTCGGGTCCAGCTGACTACAGAGCCCATGTGTGAGTCCCCGTGTGACGCTGTGTACTTGAGCTCCTTCCCCACACCACCCTGGGGAAGTGGGGAGGCCCCTTGGAGTCCTGCCCCTGCCTGCCAGGCCGAGGCCCTGCACAAGGTGGTCAGCGGGACGCAGAAGCCTCTGTTGGCCCTCAGGGGACCCACCGCCTGCCCAGGATGGAGGTTCTCAACTGGGACTGGTTTGTTCCCCTGGGGACGTTTGGCCGTGTCTGAAAACACTTTTGACAGAAAAATACATGTGTGTGTATATACATACACACTTACATATGTTCATTATAAATAGTACTTATATAAGGAATGTTTAGTACAACGTACAAATAAAAAATACACTTTTTATTGTGAATTCCATATATAGCAAATTGATTTTTTTCATTGGTTTTTTCAGAATGCTTGTATCCACAGCTAACTGGTGAACAAGTGTTGCTCTAGTGTGAATGTTTCACCGTTTGGTTTATGTTAATGAGTAAGACAAGAAGCCTTTTGTGAAAACTTTACTTGTTCAATGTCGTGAGCAGCTCCTCTGCTGAAATGGGCAATAGTTTTCTATTGAAAATATTTTAAAATATGCTATTAAGAGTATTTCCTCAGGTTTTTGTTCTAGTTACAACGTGATAGTCGTCATAGATGGTGCACTTTCAAGTGTAATCTGCGTTATTAACATTTTCTGATCCCTTGCTTAAGTCTGGACAGTTAACAAAATAATAAATCAAGCCCTGCTTTGTGATGTTGACCCACTCCCCCGGGAACTACTCCCACTGTAACTGATGCCCCTGACCCAGGGTTGAGAAGGTGTGTGCACACCACCACCTAGGATTTCTGCCATATAGATACAGAAGATGTAAATTACTTCAGGAGTGTGCTAATAATAAAATGTAACGAAATAATTAGGAAGTGGTGAATTTTGAGCATCTATGACCTTTGTTTTTAATGTAAATAATTTAGTTGTAAGTTTATATGATTTAATTGTTAACAACAGCCGTGCTTAACAACCACATCACAGAATGCTAAAAATTTGTCAGCTGCCTCCAGTCAGCGCACCATTGCCTGAAGCAGAAAAGAATGCTGGGATCACAGGCTCTGGGCTGGGCAGCCTTTTGGAATTTCCAAGGGGAGGTCGCTGGCGGGGCTCTCAGGAAGGCTTCTTGCGGGCAGCATGAGCCGGGCACGAGTGGGCACGGGTGGGGGTGGGGGCACGGATTCTGGCGGGAGGTAGAAGGCGGCAGCCCATGGGGCCTATCATGGAGACCTCCACCGCCACGCCAAGGACTTGGGATCTCATTCATCAGACCTGAGGAGGCTTGGGGTCTGACAAAAACTTCGGGAAAGTGGTGTTGGAGTGGAGGGGGGCGCGGGGATCAAGGCCAGTGTCAGGAGCCGGGACTGGCTGAAGGAGAGAGAGGTGTAGGCAGGGGTGTGGGGGGAGGAGAGTTGGTTCCTGGGTGACTAGGCCTGAGGAATGCGGAGGGGGGTCCCCAGGGGCCCTGAGGCTGCCTTGCAAGGTCTGGGGCTGAGTGGTTGAGAGGACATTGAGCTGAAGGCAGACCAGGGCCAAGGGGTGTTGGGGCCTGACGTGGAAGGCTACTTGGGCGTCTTCTGACATCGGGAGGGGTAGAGTCAAGGGACTCAGACCTGAGGTGTTGTCAAAGGTTCCCTAGAGGCCAGAGAAAAGGATGGGTGGGGCCCAACACAATGGCCTGAGGCAGCTGTCCCAGAGACCCTCACGCAGAGGAGGAGCCCGTGCACATGCCTGGGACTGCCTCTGGGTGAGTCCGTTCACCTACGGTAATCAGTGCAGCTTCGTCTTTGTCCATTTTACTATTAGAACCTGCATTAGACTCCCTTTGGAAGAAGGTTTCTGTTAACTAAGATGGAGTTTGAAAAGCAGTGCTCTGACTTCTCAGCATAGGAGGGGAACTGAGGCCCAGTGGCAAGACCTTTGAGCTGGAGGCAGACCTGAGGGTGCAGTCCAGGCTCCCTGTGCCCTGGTGCCCCCAGGACTGTCAGCATTTCATCCTGTTAAGTTGAGATGGGCATGGGGTGCAAGTGGAATTGACAGGGGAAGAAGGGAGTAACGGGGAAACAGTCAGCCGAAGGTGGGGTGGGCAAAGAAGAGGGTCACCAAAGAAGAGCTGGGCCGTCTGTGATGGGGAGCTGTGCACAGGGGGAGGCAGCTGTGGATTCTGAGGACCCTGGAGAGGTGACAGCCAGGGAGGGAACCCCAGCCTGGTATCTCAGGCCAAGTGGGTACCCCTCTTTTAGCTTGTGGAGCTTACCACCACAGGACAGCAGCTGGGGGGTCTGAAGCTTCAGTGCCTCCTCTGGCAAAAGAGACCCTTCCAGCCTATTGCAGTGAGAGCCACAGGCATTTCTCTACTTTGACCCCCATCAGAGGTGGCAGCTGGACAGCTTGGGCCCTCAGAGAGATAGATCAGAGCGAGCAGCGCCTGGCCTTTAGGAGCTGGTCCCCACCTCCTGACATCTTAGCTGCTGGGTCTGTCGACCTGATGTGGCTCTTGAGGAACAGCTGTCCTACCCCCCATGTTGCTCTGATCTCCATAGGTGGCTGCCAGCTAACCTTAGGGATCCTTGTGAGTCGGTCTTATGGGGCCTGTATTACAAATGAGACTGAGGCTCCAAGAAGGGAAGGGACTTATTCAAGTTCACTGTGTGGTACAGCCAGGATTAGGACCCCATCTGTGGGGCTCCAAAGCCTTGTTCTATTGTCTTAACTGGGGGACACGGGACAGCTACAGAGGGCCATGGGACAGACAGTCCCTGCCTCCCACTCAGAACACCTGGACCCAGGAGGCCTGGCCCTTTCCCTTCCCCAAAACCGGTCCTCACAGCCCCCAGGTGGCTGCTGGAGACGCAAGGGTCTGAAGCTCCGTGAGGTGCCATATAGCATGAGGGAGAATACAGTCTCTTACATACATGGCCCTTGGCCTCCGTTTCTTCCATGGCCCTTCCCCTTCCTTTTTTAATGATCTTAAATATGTTCTAATTATATAGGAAATAGGATTACATTTTCAAAAATAATTCAAAATCAAGAGGTTGGAACCAAACACAAGAGCTTGCCTTCCTCGGCCTGCGCCCTGCCTGCCCCCCGTGGTCACCATTTGAGCATACCTGTAGTTTCCGGTTCCCGTTGCTGTTGTAACAAATTACCACAAACATCAACAGCACAGATTTATCATCTCGGCAGTTTCGGAGGGTAGAAGTCTAACATGGGTCTTGCTGGGCTAAAATCCAGGCGCCCACAAGACTGCATTCCTTTCCATAGGTGCTGGTGGGGATTCATTTCCTAGCTTTTTCCAGCATCTGGTGGCCACCGCGTTGCTTGGCTCATGGCCCCTTCCTTCATCTTGAATACCCGCAAAGGAGAGCCAAGTCCCACGCACTTCGCGGCACTCTGACCAACCCTGGTCCCTTCTCCCCGTCCCTCTGCCCTCCTGCTTCCTCTTCCATATCTAAGGACCTTTTGTCGGGCCCAGTGGGGAATCCAGTATAATCAGCCTATTTTGAGGTCAGCTGATCAGCAACCCCAACTCCCCTCTGCTGTATAAGGTAATATATTCATTGGTTCTAGGGAGTAGGGCATGGCCATCTTTGGGGGCCATTACTCTGCCTCCCACAGCTTCCTTCCATGCCTCTCTCTGTGTCTTTACATACACATCCTCGGAGGCCTGGCTCTGTGGGTTTATTTCTGTGAGTAGGGTCACACCATACGTGTTATCAGAGGCTGGCTTTCATCAACTAACTTTCAGGACGCCTTTGCACAGCAGTCCCCATGGGCAGCTCTGTCTTTTAACAGCTGCCTGGGGGCCTGTGGCAGGCTCCATCCCATCATTTATTTAAGGGCTCCCTTGTTAGGCATTTAGATTGTTTCCAGTTTTAGTCTGTTACCAACGTTGCCGTAGGGAATGCCCTTGTCCAAGAGTCTTTGGACACATATGGCTTTCTGTGGGGGTCATTCCAAGGGGTGGACCTGCTGGGTCACGGGATAGGGCCATTAAAAATGCAATGATGCCACCATACTGCCCTCCACACGTCCCATCACAGCAGACTCTCTGAGCAGTGGATATTATCAGTTTCTTAAATACTTGCCAGTCTTGTCTACGAGGCTCCATTGTGGAATAAGTCATCACTTGCAGCTCACTCAGCACCTGGCACACATCAGGCCCTGGCCCAGGCCCTGGGGACCCTGAGCTGGATGAGATCTATCCTGTCTTCAGGGAACTTACAGGCTGGCAGAAGCAGTGCCTTTGGGGCAGGGGAGGGGCTACCCAGAGACACAGCAAGGGGGCCGTCAAGCTGGGCTTCAGGCCAAGTGAATTACCCAGGAAGAAAAAGTTGCAAAAGAACACTCTAGGCGGTGGGAGTAACATGAGCTGAAGCTGAGAGGTGTGCACAGGCAAGGAATTGCTTTTTATAACTCTGGAGTTTCTTGGTGAGGAAGAGCTGGGGATTAGGCCCCAGGGTCAGACAGGAGAGCAGGGACTTGCCGCTGCAGGATGAGGCGCACAGGAAGGGTCTGAAGCCGGAGAGTGACGGGCAAGGTTTGTGGATCGGGGGATGTGAGGCAGGTGCAGGTGCCCGGGGACCAGGGCAGGCCTGCTCCTGAGGCTCCTGCCCTTGGGTTGGGAGGACCATTACCCCAGGCCCCAGGGGCAGCCCTGTGACCCTGGCCTCCCATCGGCAGGAGGCATGCGAGCGTAGCCTGGCAGAGATGGAGACCTCGCACCAGCAGGTGATGGAGGAGCTGCAGCGGCACCATGAGCGGGAGCTGCAGCGGCTGCAGCAGGAGAAGGATTGGCTCCTGGCCGAGGAGACGGCAGCCACAGCCTCAGGTGAGGGCCCGGGCCCCACGAGGCTCCACGCTAAGCTCCTCGCTGAACCGGGCAGGCCTTTAAATAAGAAGCAGGGGTCTCAGTGCCAAACTTGGGGTAAGAGATCAGGAGGGGTTGGAAACCCAGAATTGGCCCCTGATCCTGTTTGAAGAGGGAAAACCAGGGCAATGAAAGACCCCTCTCTCCAGTGGGCTGTGACTCCGCCCTCAGGCCTGCAGCCACTGGAAGGTTCACTTAAAGCCACACACACACGCAGCTCCAACTACATGCCCAGGTCCACTGAGTGCTGGGGTAGAGACCGCTCAGCCACAGACACGGGAAGATGGGGAAAGCTGTGAGCATTTGCCAAGCCCTGTTACCCACGTGAGTACCCTTAATCCTTGCAGTGTCTGAAGGAGTAACCTCATTTCACAGATGAGGAAACTGAGCTCAGAGAGGTTAGTGACTTGTTCCAGATGGCACAGCTTGGAGATGGCAGAATTGGAGCTGGAGCCTAGAGCACTCTGATTATAGAGTCATGCTTTGAACCCTACCCTCTGCTCTCCCAAGTCAGAAACAGGAACACAAAGATGTTGGACTTCTCCTTCCCTCTGTGTCCTGCACACACAAACACTTGCATGGGGTTTGCAGTAAAACAGAAAAGATGAAAGAGGTCACAGGATGCAGAGCTCACCACCTGCCAGTGCTTCATGCACTCAAGTCTGAGGCCCCCCATCCCAAACCCTGGAGGCAGTATATTTTGCATTTTAGGAAGATAACCCAGCAAGTGTGTTAGCTATCCTCCCCGAGTGGGGTCTGGGTTTTACCTTGAAACTAGCGCAAGATTTCACAGTGAAATTTCTCTAAGTCATGCTTAACTGGAATAACAATGACCATAAATAGCCTGTGTCTGTCGTTCAGGTCAGGGATTGTGACTAACAGTTATGAAAAACTTTCAGTGTCCCAAGTTTTTGGAATTTGGAAGTATGGATAAGACTATGGATGAAGGCTTAGTTAATCTTTACAGCCACCCCGGCTGAGTGTAGAAAGAGACTCAGTCCTTGGAGCTCACAGTCTGGAAAATAAGCCAGTGGGTGCTAATAGCTGGGCACCTCCTCTGTGCCATGCATTCCTCTGAGCGCTATGCACACGTCCTGCAGTAACTCAGGAGAGAAGATGCTCTTGTTATCCCCGTTTTCCAGATAAGGGGCCTGAGGCACAGAGGAATTAATCCCTCCCACAAAGCTGTGCAGATTTGTACCAACTGCAGAGTCTGTGCTCTTGACCACGAGACTGGCTTCCTCTTAAAGAGACTCCAGGCTCTGCAGGGCTGGTGGGCTGTGGGGTATCTTACCCAGACATCACAAATGGCAAGAGGCACCAGTGGTCAGGCACCCCTGCTGGGTCCTTCAAACAGGGCTTGTTACCCTCCCTTGACAGACAGGCTCGGAGAGGTCAGGCAGCCTCCTGGAAGCCACCTGCTTTGTGACAGCCTGGTCCGTCGCCCTTCTCCCTCTCCCTGCTCCGGGCTGTGTGGTACATGTGGTGTCCCGAAGGAGGGGGATCTTGGTGCCACTGACCACTCCCCAAGTTCCCCTCCACCTCTCTGCCCTGCTTCCAGCCATCGAAGCCATGAAGAAGGCCTACCAGGAGGAGCTGAGCCGAGAGCTGAGCAAAACTCGGAGTCTCCAGCAGGGCCCAGATGGCCTCCGGAGGCAGCACCAGTAAGAGGGCCCCCGGGCTCTGGGGGGTCTTTGGTCGGGCCTTGCTCTGAGTCAGGGGCCAGTGTTAAGGCCCCCTAGCAGAGGACATGTCAGTTCGCCCCCAGCTGAGATTGCCGGTGCAGTCACTTGACACGGGGAAGAGAAGCCACGGAGCCCCAGACAGACCCCCATGCCAGTGCACACAGGCAGTTCTTCAGGCCCCTTCCCAGCCAGCTGGTCTCTGCCTCCTCCCTCCTCTTCCCCTTCTAGTGTCCCCTAGAGCTGGGCTTCAGGCTCACCCTCAGCCACTAGCTGTCCCTTCCTGCCACACAGCACAGTTCTGGGATGCTGGGGCTATGGAGGTTTAGAGATAGGCTCCTCCAACCCACCGCCTGTACAGGAGGCACCAGGAACCAGAGGCTGTCACCAGGTCACAGCCCCATAGGGGCTGCAGGCAAAGCAAGGGCAGGACCCCCGCAGTCCCGAGCTGCCTTGTGTCTGCCATGACCTAACTCTGTCCCGGCCTGGTGAAAGGCAGAGTGCCCACGCTGTCCTTCCCTCCTGCACCCTGGGCAGGTCAGACGTGGAGGCGCTGAAGCGGGAGCTGCAGGTGCTGTCAGAGCAGTACTCGCAGAAGTGCCTGGAGATCGGGGCCCTGACACGGCAGGCCGAGGAGCGTGAGCACACACTGCGGCGCTGCCAGCAGGAGGGCCAGGAACTGCTGCGCCACAACCAGGTGGGCCTGGCTCGGGTGGGGTGGGGTAGGGCTTGGCCCTGCGCACCCCCCCCGTTGCACTGACCGTACCCCTACACCAGGAGCTGCATGCCCGCCTGTCAGAGGAGATTGACCGGCTGCGTGGCTTCATTGCCTCACAGGGCACAGGCGATGGCTGTGGGCGCAGCAACGAGCGGAGCTCCTGTGAGCTGGAGGTGAGCAGCCACCCCTGGTGCCAGGCACCAGGTGGTTCTCGGGCCTGCAGCTGGGGAGAGCACCCTGACAGGCTGGGTGTCAGTGCACTGGAGAGCACCGTGGCTCTGAGGGGTTGGGCCCAGCAAGGAAAGGCCCACGCAGCTTGGAAGGATACCTGCTATGTGCCCAGCACTGCTGGGCTGGTTGGGCAAAAGCCCTGCAGCCAGAGTCCAGCCCTCCCATCCAGGTCCAGCCACTGCCTGCTGTGTGACCGTGGCAAGTCACCCCACGTCTCAGCTCCAGGAGCTCACCGTAGAGTAGGGCTCGCTCCTCCTTTACTGGGAGAAGCAGGAGTGAGAAAATGTGTGTGTGATCCCAGGATCACCCTAATATTTTATTTTGCAGAAATTTATATACAGCTTTCCTCTGTGTGTGGAACTTCTGGAAGTCCTATACTTGTCAACTCATCGAATCTTCCTAACAGTCATCTGAAGTAGATTCTGTTATATCCCCATTTCACAGAGGAGGAAACTAAGACACAGGGGGGTCAAGTACCTTGCCCAAGGTCACACAGCTGGTCAGTGTAGAAGTTGGGATTTGAACCAGACAGGGTGGCCCCAGAGTTGAAGCTCTTAAGCCTCCCCAGTCCTGGCTGAACCTGTTTCCCCCTCGGTCAAGTCAGGATAGCAGCACCTGCTCCTCAGGGTCTGGGGAAGGGTTAATGAGGTAGTCCACAGGGAGGCCCAGCTCTCTCTGGTTTAGTAGGGCCATACCATGGCCCCCTTTTGTTCTCTTTGCCCTCAAGTTAAGGGCCTCAATGTTAGGGCCAAAGCAGAAGTGACCATGAGATTCCTACTCACATGGAATGGACAAAGGTGAGAGAGCAAGGAGAAACCAGAAAGGGCTTCCTGGAGGAGTCTGCCACTTGAGTGTGATGGGTTTTGGTGCCAGTGGGAGCTACATTTTAGGGGCCTGAAGCAGGGAAAGGCCAGGCCATTGGGCGCTGTGGGTCAGGGTAGCTCTGGCCTCTGGCCCTGGATCAGCCTGACACCCATGACCCCAGGTGCTGCTGCGTGTGAAGGAGAACGAACTCCAGTACCTGAAGAAGGAGGTGCAGTGCCTCCGGGATGAGCTCCAGAAGCTGCAGAAGGTAGGGCCCCGCTGGCTGGGGCAGGCTGTCGGGGACCTTCTGGGTCCACTTGAGTGCCTCTCCTGTGAGCCCCTGCTCTGTGCTGGGCACTCCCTTGCTCCATCATTTTGTCAAACTGTCCTCATGCCTCCGCCATGTAGGTGTCACTATCCCCATTCACAGACCAAGAAATAGGCCGAGAAAGAATGAGTAACTTGTTCAAGGCCATATTTGCTTTTATATATTCAGCAAATATTATTGAGCACCCACTGTATGCCAGGCACTGTGCTAGGTTCTTGGGAGACAGCTGTGAACACAAAGGACCAAAACCCCTGTTCAGGTGGAGTGTGCATTCCACTGCGGAATCAGCTATGTTTTGGGAGGGCTGGGATTTGGGTCCAGGTCTGAGTTTGTGGCATTTGACACCATGTGTATTGGTGGCCCCATGAGTATGTGAGCTGGACTTGTAAAAAGGGCCTCTGCCCTGGGCCAGGTTGACCTGTTCTCCTCCTACCCACTCACTGCCTATGACCTTGAGCAAAGCTTCGCCTCCTGCTGCCTCAGCTCCCATCTCAAGTGGGACAAGGCCATGGGCAGCAGAGGGGCCTGACTGCTTTGTGCTGGCCAGCAGGGAGCATGGGGGCATGTGCCAGGTGGGCAGGGCCCAGGAGAAAGGGCTTTGGGCCCTCACTTCCCCTCCCTGTGTCCCAGGACAAGCGCTTCACCTCGGGAAAGTACCAGGATGTGTATGTGGAGCTGAACCACATCAAGACACGGTCCGAGCGGGAGATCGAGCAGCTGAAGGAGCACCTGCGCCTCGCCATGGCTGCCCTGCAGGAGAGGGAGGCAGTTCGCAGCAGCCTGGCCGAGTAGAGGTGGGTGCATTGGAAGGGTGGGGGGTACGCAATGGGGGGCGGGGGGACCCCAGGGGGGCACCAGCCCAAGGCTCATCCGCACCTGACTCACTGTGCCACCTGACCCAGGGCACTTCCTTCTGCTGGCCTCTGTTTCTCTTTCTATAAATGGGGACAGTGACACCAACAACTCGGGGTTGTTGGGGACTGTCAGACTCGGGCAGAGGCTGCTTTATAAACTTGAGCCTGTTTCTTCAGAGGTCGGAAAGTGCAGTTCAGCATCTGATTATTGTCCTATCCCCTGATATGACAGCAGGCAGTTCTTGACACTGTGTCACACCCACAGCCTCATTGGGCCACACCCCTTCTCAGGGTTGACATGACCCCTGGCTGACCTGGCTAGGCTTGGGTGGCAAATCCAGCGCACCCGTCCCACCTGCAGACCTGGCCACTGGCACGCATCACCAGCCAGTCACCCAGCTCCTTCACCAAGCTTGGCACCGCAGACACCACTCTGGGACTTAGTATTAAGGTCATCCTGATTTAGTTCAAGGTCATCCTTGAATATTTTTTGATGGCTTTCCTAATGCCGTATCTACCTGGAACTTCCTCTACCTGACAAGTCCTTGTGGACTTCCTAAGGTGCTCAGGAGGCCACCCCATGGGCAGGCCGTTTGGGAACAGGGCTGGCCCAGGCTTAGTGGGGGACTGAGAGGCGTCAGAAGGACCTGCCGTGGCCCTTGCCTGGCCTCAGCCAGCCTGGGGTGCAGCCAACCCTCAGCTCCTCCACTCTTGTCTTCCAGGTCCTCGTGGTCCAGTCCCACTGCAGACCCCCAGCCAAGGGACCAGTTGCCCTCCTTCCCTGCTGGATGGACGTCAGGCGCCAAGCTTTCTCCCCACCCTCTGTGCGCATGAGTGCGTGCACACGCGCACACACACACACACACACACTCTGCGTACCTGAGCGTGCCCCTCGCACTGGGTCTTACCTTGCACCTTCTTCAGGATTTTATATGTGAAGAGATTTTTATATAGATTTTTTTCCTTTTTTTTTTTCCCTCAAAACACTTTATACTTTTTAAAAAGTAGTTCCTGGTGGCCATGTGCCTCCAGCACTCGCTCCCCCCTGTGTCTGGCTGGCCGCCTGCTTGGGCTTCTGGGCTGGTGGCCCTGCCCCAGGAGTCTGACCGAAGCCCAGGAGCGCCCATGGCAGGGCTGACTCCGGGGGGAGAGGCAGAGAGCCAGTCACCCTCTTCCTACCCTACCTCCCACTAACTACTTCCTGCCCTGGAGGGACCCACACCCTGGGACTCTGGACAGAGGGACAGATGGACAGAGGGAGCTGGCAGCCGTCCCCAGGACCTGGCCTCCTCTGCAGGAGTGCTGGGCATGGCACTGCTGGAGCCGTCCCATGAAGGCCTTTCTGTCCTGCTCCATGAGCCTTCTTAACTTAATAAAATGTCCCAGCAGCTGTGTGTCTGGACTCTGGAGCCGGGTGGGCTATGGAGGCTGAGGTTTCTTGTGGCCTCATCCCCCCACAGCACTGCATCCTTCCTGAAGGGCTGGCACATGGGCTTCTAAGGGTGGGGTTGAGAACCTAATTCCTCTAGGGATGGCTTTGCCACCCCACCTGGGGTTTGCAGACCAGCGGGAGGCATCACCAGGGAGCGGGTTAGAAACACCAACTCCAGGCCCCACCCCAACCTGCTGAATTGGAATCCACACCCTAGCACAGCCCCCCGTGGTTCGTGTGCACCTCAGAGTCTGAGAAGGCCTGGCGTGGCTGCTTCCCAGAGCTTGGGAGGAGGACTAGGGATGCTTTGCCCATGACTGACCCTGGGCGAGTCACAACCCCTCCCCAAGCCTTAATTCGGACTGGAGGGATCCTCTAGGAAGGCCATCCTTGCTCTTAAGAAGGGCACAAGGAAGGGAGGCTTTCCTCCTGGCCTTTGCACAGTGGGGTGAAGTTCCTGTGTTGCCGCCATCTTGCTTCATTGATGCTAAAAGTGGCTGAACCAAAGAGAGGAAGAACGGGGACCCCCGAGCCATCAAATCACCCACCCTCAGTGCTGCCCCGACTCAGGACTCCTCCTGAGGCCACGCTGAGGAGCCTCCCTGAGCTGCCCAGAAGTGGCGTGTCTGCCTCTGCAGCCCCAGGGTGCAGACAGTGGAGCCCGGAGCCTGGCCCATCCCCATGCTCAGTTGCCTCCCACCAGCCCTCCTGACACCCCTTGATTCCTCCTCTGCCTCCATGACTGCTCAGCCCAACTCCAGGCTCCCCGCCTAGCCCCTGGGCTGTGGCGGCCTCCTCACCACTCCCTCTCACCCACCCCTCTTCAAGGGCGCCTGAGAAGCTAAGAAACGATAGCTAATGAAAAGTTGCTCCACCTCAGTCACTTAAAACCAGTGAGATCACCCCTGCCCCTCCCCCCCACACTAGAACAACTCAGACTAGAAAGGGTTGCCAAGTGTATTTGTTGTCACTCATGGTCCTGTGGATGGATGGGGCTCAGGCGGGCAGTTCTCTTGGTGTCTTTTGTGCAGTTGCTGTCGGATGGTGGCTGGGCCCGAGTCATCTGAAGGCTCAGCTGGTGTGGACGTCCCAGACGCTTTCTTGACTCGTCTGGTTCCTCAGCTGGAATGGCTGCGACAGCTGGGGGCCATGGATACCTCCTTCCCTTTCTCCGCATGGCCACTTCACGTGGCTAGCCTGGGCTTCCTCACAGCTTGGCAATCTCGGGGTAGCATGTACTCTGGTTTCTTCTGTGGTGGTTGATGTTCCTGAGAGTTTCAAGAGACCCAGGTGGAACCTACAAGCTTCTTATGACAGGCTTGGGAGTGCGGTGGCATCACTTGCATGACATTAGTCAAAACCAGGTCAGCCCAGGTCAAGAGGCGGGGACACCACCAGGGAACAAATGCTGGGGTGTCCGCTGGGAGCCACCTTTCTCTGCACTCCTGCATCTCTGCCAACTCCAGCTCCTCCTCAGTCCCCCTTTGGATTCACCTCCGCCCAGCCCTCTACTGTTGGAGTTCCCTCAGCTCTCCTGTCTTTTCTTCTACATGTTCTCCCTTAATGGCCTTGATCTCTTGTCCTTGGCTTTTGTGCCTCTAGCGCAGACCTGTCTCGGGAACTTCAGGCCTGGGCAGCCTGTCTCCCGGTCCTTCTCAAGGGCCTGCCTTCTCTCTGACCTGCTCTTCAGTTAACTACAAGAAGCCACAGTCAGCAGGGAGGGAGCATCAAAGCCAGCCTGGGAAGTCAGGGGAGGCTTCTGGAGGAGAAGGATGCTGGGAATTGAGCAGGAACTAGCTAGGCTAGGAATATGGAGAGAGTATTCCAGGTCAAGTGAACATCACAGTCAAAGGCACTGAGATGGGAAGGTAAAGCCCAGTCAGAGACAGCAACTGGGTTTGGCCAGTGTAGAGTGCATAAAGGGATCTGAAATGAGGCCAGAGGGACAGGCTAGAGGTAAAATCCAATCAGCAAGGGTGGTGGGGAACCACTGGTTCAAGCTCTAGCTTCATTTGTCACATTAGGGAGTTTTAGACGGTACCCTGGTCCAGGACAGAGGTCTGGGTGATGACAAGGTGTGGGTGTCATCAGCATGTAGGGGTTAGTGAGGCCCCGAGTTGGCCTTTGGGGTGACATGTGGGGTTGGGGCACTGGCAGATCCAAGGGTAGAACTCCATGAAGAGCAGAAGGCAGGTTTGGGGCAGGCAGAGTGAGTGAATGCTTCCAGAAGGCATTGGCCAAGAGGAGCTGGAACAACAGGCCCGCAAAGAGTCCATTGAATTTCCTCAGGCCACAGGGTAAGGAGCTGTGTGGGCATGGGGACAGGGTATGGGAACAGACAAATTTAAGTTTTGTCACTTCCTTGTCACCAATGGGTCAGACTTTACTGCCACCTCACTTCTAAGTCCTAGAGCCCCAGTCACACCAGTCCCTCCCCATCTAGGGTCTCCAGACCACTCAACCACTCTCGGCTCCAGGGACCTGTAGCTCCTCTGGGGGTGGGGGGCAATGTCACCGCATAGTGGCTCTCTCTCAGAAGGCATGCAGACACCCCTACCTCCCAACCCTCCTCTAATTGCCACCTTTATGTCTCTGGATGTCCCCTCCCTCACGCAGCACAGAGCTGAAGGAGGCAGGGTGAGGAAGGAATAAGAGCTCAGGGCTGGTGTCAGTCCTTCCATACCCTTGGTCCCAGCTCTGTACCGTGGGCAAGCTACAAACTTCTGTGCCTCAGTTTCCTCATCTGTAAAATGGACACAATAGTGCATACTTCACAGAAGTGTAGCAAATATTACAAATGAGCTGATCCATGTAAGATACTGAGAAAAGTGCCTGGTATCTAGTAAGTGCAATACAAATGCTAGCTATTATGATTATTGTGGTGGTTATTGTTCTGCGGCTGTTACAAGGATTAAGCAAATGCATCATTAAGTAAATGATGAAAGTAAAATGCACGGCACTGGCCTGTATACAGCACACATTTCAAAAACAGGAGCTACTGTTTTATTATTACTTGTCAGAAGTCAGCTGGGTGCCCCTCCCTCCCGTCCCCAGGAGAGCTGATTGAACTTGGTCTAACCCCAATTCCATGGCCTGCGAGAATCCAGACCTCTTCCTTTCATGTTCCCACCACCACTTTTCAGGGCCTCCTGAGACTTCCTTTCTCTTGGGGTGGGATGTGTTACTAGGTACAAAGCCAGACCCTTCAGTGGTTCCACAATAAACCCTCTTGAAAAAAATGTCCTATTAGGGAGCTTGAAACATCTTGTTCTCTGTGCCCTCTTTCCCCCTGGCAGTCTGGGAGGAGTCCAGCCTAGCCACTCAGTACTGCCCAGACCCTCCCCCTCACTAAGCCCTGGCCAGCCACTGCTTTTACTGCTCTTGGATGTAGCCGCTTATCTTTGTCCCTAAGATCTCGTCCAGCCTCTTCCCTGGTCCCCAACCTGTTTTTTGTCCTCCTGTCCAGTATGCACACACCAGTGTGAGCTCTAAAACAGAGAGCTGTTTAGTTTTCCTTTGTGAAGCCCTACTCTGGTCCTCTCAAGTCTGGGCACATGAGCCCCTCAGCCTGTCCAGCCCCCAGCCCTGTCCCTTTGGGTTCCCTGGGCTCCAGGCTCCCACATGAAGCCTCCTGCAGCTCCCAAAGGTGCCCAGCCGTACACGCATCTGTCCTCCCTGCTGTCCTCCACACACAAATGCCCACACCCTGCCCATCCCCTGGTAGAGTCAGGACTCAGATCAGTCATCATGTGCCACCTCCAGGAAGCCCTCCCAGATCCCCCAGATGGAGCTAGATGACTGCCCTGGCTTCTACAGGCTCTCCATTTGCCATGTTCTTTATGTGGATCTCCCAGACTCTGAACCTTCTGAAGCTGGGGACCAGCTCTGATTCACTTCTATCTCTCCAGGGCCCAGCACAGAGTACATGGAGTCTCAGCTAGATGAGTGTGTGTTGACTGACTGACCTACTGACTGGAAGTGAATAACTGCCCAGCCAGGCACCCTCTAGTCAGGGCACAGCCATAGCCTCAGCTCCACATGTACGCCAAATGGCAAAGGGCTGGGTCTCATAAACCAGCTGGGAAGCCCAGCAGCCAGCCTGAGGGACTGGGACCTAATGGCAGTTTCCAGAACACAGAAGGGCCAGGCTGGAACTGGGAGTCATCCCTGCATCCCATCTGTCCTTTACGAGGGCCCTGAAGCTCTGAGGCTCAGGGAGGGGAGGGCTTGCTGTGATGGAGCTTCTGCTGTGAGCAAACTTAATAGACTGCACCCCTATTAAGGGTCACGGCAGCCCTTTGAAGTACCTCTTGCTGTCCCCATTTTGCAGCAGGAGAAACAGGCTCAGAAGAGGCCATGACTCACAAAGGTCAACAATTTGTGACACATCTTGGCAGGTCTGGCTCCAGCACCCAAATCTTTTTAAGGCGGCCTCCCTTAACAGTAGTGACATCTACCTTTTGTTGAGCACTTACTGTGTGTCAGGCCTGCAGTAAACATTTCACATTCATTATCTCCTTTGATCCCCAGAACAGCCTGATACAGGAAGTAATATTCCTGTTTTATAGGCAAGGGGACCAGGACTCAGAGCAGCGCAGTGAGTAACCTGGTCACAGGGCTGGCTGGAGTCTAGGTCTGTGAGTCTCACCGTGCAGGTGCCTTCCTGAGCTGACCAAGGTCCTTTTGTAGGAGACCACCTGGACACCAGGGGCCTTGGGCCCCCTGCTTGGGTGTAGGTATGGGGAGAAGTCTGGCTACCCCTCTGCTGGGCTCACCTGGATGAGCCACCTCCACACTCCTGCCTCAATGTCCCTAGTAAAGCAGAGCAAGAGCTTCCTCCCAAGGGGGCCAGGAAGGCTGGAGGCCCCTAGAAAGGGCAGGAAGGTATTCCAGGAGTGCCTGTTGTTGGCTGGCCCTGGCCCTGGCCCCTTCACCATGGTGCAGCCCCAGACCCACCC